TAATTCTTAAACAAATTAAATTCTATTAATGAAACATATGGTAATAGGGAAGAAGAATTAGATAATCTTTATAAATAGATTGAATCAGATAGTTAATTATTTTTTATTTTAGGATTGAAATAATTTATAAGAATGAAAAGTTAATTAGTATCTTAAGAAATTTGTAATAACAATCTTAATTAAGAAATCATGTTTTAAACACTTTTGAAATATAATTATAAAACTTGTTTTGTTATGGATACATATGAAGATTTAATATCATTTTTAAGAACATATCATATTACTGAAAAGAATTCTATTGATTTATTTTTAGAAGTCAATACAATTCATTATAAATTTAGATAATCAATTCAAAATTTAATAGAAAAATCAAATATTTTTGAAGTTTACTAATAAAAATTTGTTGAAAACTTTATTGTAATTAATGCAGAAACTCTTGAAGCAATAGTAAAAGATGATTATCTAAAATATCATTTTGTTGTGCTTTTTTATTTTTCATAAGGTGTAGGAGCTTATTAATTAGATGAAAAATAAAAAGGAAAACTTTTAAAATTAATTACAATTACCGAAAGATATATTGCATCTATAGGTTCAGGATTAGACAATTAATATTTCTTTTACAAATCTAATTATTCTTTTAATTTATCAAATTAAGATCCATAATGTGCACTTTCTAATCCTAATTTTTTAATAGCTAAGACTGATTAAATGCTAAAATTATTATTTTTTTATTGCCCAACCACTTACATAAATTATGAATCTATCATTTTAATATAGATTTATAGATGTTTTTTATTTGGTTTTTTGTCTTATATGATAGACTATTAAAATCCATTTTATACATTAGACGAATTAATTTTCTTTGTTTTAGTTCCAAGCAATGTTGTTACATGTATTCTCAATTATGAAAATTTTCTGCATTAAAAAACATTTGAAAAAAATTAATTTGAAATATATAGAAAAAGATTAGAGTTGATAAAATAAAGTAATATTTATGTCAAAATAATCAAAATAATCTTTATAGCATTACTGGATTCTATTTTAGTTGAAATTTGTTTTAATATATTTGATATATTCTAAAATTAAGAACTTGGAAATTATTCTATTTTTATGTTCATCATTCTTGAATTAGTGGAGAAGTCAAAATACATTATGACTCAATTAAATTCATACTATGATTTAGGCAAGATGCTAAAACTAATATTCTCCTACATAATATTATTATCTTTATTGTTATTGATATATGGTCTTGTGATAACAGATATTATCTATTAATTATCAAATTTAAATTTTATTTTTTGGATTTTTGGATTAATATTTGCTCTATCAATCTCATTTGTAATATAAGAAGTGTTAATACTAACAGAATTTAGTTTCCCATCTCCAAATGATATTCAATTTCACATAGAGAATTAAACTGAAATTGAGAAGTTAAGCCAATCTTTGAAATACTTAACTTAATAATAATCAAATTAGGCCAAGTTTTTTATTGAGAAATTATTTGAAGGAAAGGATTTTATGGATGAACTACTTCTAAAAAAGATTAAGGGAGATTAATAAATGACTGATTAAATGGAAAAAGACTTAAAATTTACAGATAAAAGAACAGAAAAAGATTTTCTCAATTGGCTCAAACCTTAAAATAAATACATTTATTATATATATGAATTAACTATATTTGGAATTAGAATCTATTAATAAATCAATAATCTTTAGATTGCTTATTTAGTGATTTCTATTATTTAGTTTGTAGTGATGAGTTTATTGCCTATGATACATATTTCTAAGTTTAAACCTTTAGTTTTAATTAGTTTAAGATTTGCATTTTTCATTGTATTACATATCTTATTAGATACTGAAATAAATGAAACATTAATGTTTTTGATATCAATTTCTTTGACTCATCATCCATTATTAGGGATTTATGGATATTATTGTGTGTGTTTCATTTCAACTATTTTAGATATGTTGATGGTAGGAATATATTATTATACTAATCCATATCACATTCTAAATCATGCCTTAATTTTAATAGAAGTCTGTGTTCCATTAATATTTTAAGTTTATAAAACTGAATTCTTATAAAGATATTAATATATCTTGTAAAACAAATTATTAGATGAATATAAAAAGCTAAATGATGCTTTAGGCTTGTTGATGCCACGATTCATTAAAGAAAGAATGTCAAAAGGATAGATATAAATATCAGAAGATTAAGGAGATGTTGCAATTTTATTTTGTGATATTTATGATTTTGATGATATAATCAGAAATGAATAAATCAAGGTTGTTGAATTTTTAGACAATTTATATCGTTAATTTGATTAATTTTGTTAAGCAAATGAATTATAAAAGATTGAAACTGTTGGTAAGACTTATATGGCAGCAGGTGGATTAAAAGACTATAATATTTCAGATAATTTAAATCCTACAGAAAGAATATTAGATACAGCTCTTTAAATGCAGGAAAGTGTTAAAACAATGAAATATGGAGATAATTAAGCTGTAATTCTGAAAATTGGTATTCATTATGGAAGAGTTATAGCTGGTGTGATTGGAGCTCATAAGCCATAATTTTCATTGATAGGAGATACAGTCAATACAACTAGTAGAGTTTGTTCAACTTCTGAACCAGGTAATGTAACTTTAAGCTAATAAGCCTATGAAAAAGTCTCTAATAAAAAATATTAATTTAAATTAAGAGAGGTAGAAGCGAAAGGCAAAGGAACTATTAAAACATATTAATTTATTAAAGGGAATAAAAAATAATAGTAAGCAATTCTAAAGGTTGCTGATAATGTATCTAAATCTCCTAATCCTCATTTATAAAATTAGATGATTAAAAAAATATCTGAAAATTTGAAGAATAAACAATAAACTATTTTAAAAAAAGTATCAATCAATGAAGAAAAATAAGATATTGCACCAGTCACAATCTAAAATACGAATATGAATGTAAATACTAAATTAATATAAATTTCATCTCCGTAATCTATATAGCCAATGATAAGAGCATAATCAAGATCAGTATTTAATTCATCATATTAAATGGGATTACTTACACCCAATGAATAAGATTAAGATAATAATAATAATAATAATAATAATAATAATAATAATAATAATAACAATAATAATAATAATAATAACAATAATAACATTAATAATAACAATAAATTTGAAGAAAAAGAGAAATTTAATATCTATAATATATAAGGTGATGGATTAAAATCTAGTATACCTTTAGGAGGAGCTGCAGCAGGTTAATATACAAAAAGAATTTCAAATTTAGCTTTTGAATTAAATCCCATGAAATCAAGAAAATCAGTGTATAAAAGAGCAGGTACAAAAACAAATTTGCCTGAATAAGATTAAATTGTAGGAATGGGTACTAGTGGTTAAAAATTGGCAGAAAGTGTAAAAGTTGAATTACATCCTGTGAAAAGAAAAAGAACAAGAATAATTGCAGAAAAATAAATGGATTTTATAGATAGAATTGAATCTTTATCAGTTCATAAAACACCAAAAGAATTGAATCTTTAATCTCATATGGATGAATTAGAGATAAGAAAACTAATAGATATTGAAGATAGTATTTATTAAAATGAATATGATTTGAAAAATATGGAAGAAAAAGTTGAAATTTAAAAATATGGTATTTAAGAGTCTAACTATAAAAGTGATAGTCATGATTAATATTTTTCAATTTATGATTAATACAAAGAATTTGATTTAAAACAGGTAAAGATTTTTATTGTTTTTATAATAATTTTATTGATAATCAAGAATTTATTTTATTACTTATTAACTTCAATAAATTAAGAATTATAGGTAATATTTATTTGTTAGTCAGTAATTTGTTTAGTATTATCAATAATTATTTACAATGTAAAAAAGATATTTATCTTGAAATTACTAATAGGTTTATATTTCCTAATATTTTCTATAAATAATATTTTAATAATAAATGTTCATAACTCTGAAATGGAATTAATATTTTAAATAAGTTAAATAACTGCTGTATATTTGAATTTATTCTATTTATAGATATACAATAAAAAGGATCGAATAAAATTATCTGTCCTATATACAATATTAATCTTAATAAATCTAGTATTTAATGAATATATTTTGGATATAATTCTCTTCTTAATTTGCATATTATTATCAAGTTTAATAATTCAAGAAAAGGAATTAAAGATACTAGCTGAAAATTATTAATGTTTTTCGCAATTTGAATCTAAAAATGCGAAATAAACACAAATATTATAATATTTATTACCATAACACATAATAGGTAGATTTTTTTCAACAGATATAACTACAACAGATAACTTCACTGATGTGTTTCAAAATTGTACCATTCTGTTTGCTGATATTGCAGGATTTACAAAATATTCAAGTTCAGTGGAACCAGAATAAGTAGTAAATATGCTTAGAATATTATTTTAACAATTTGATGAAGCTTGTTAAAAATTTTAAGTATACAAATTATACACTATTGGGGATTGCTATGTTTGTATGGGTATTATAGATGCTAATAACAGAGATCCTGTTGGTGAAGTAAATTTATATATTTTATAATAAATAGGCAATAAATGTGGTGTTGTTTGGATTAAAAATGATATAGATAATTTAATAGATAAATAAAGATCCTCAGTTTTAACATTTGAACATGAGAATTGGAGCACATACAGGGAGAGTTATTGGAGGTGTTGTAGGGACAGATGTAGTTAGATATGATATTTATGGAGAGGATGTTACAACAGCCAATAAGATGGAATCAAAAGGACAAGAAGGCAAAATAATGGTAAGTTAAGCTACAAAGGATTTGATTGAAAGTGATGAAGAATGTATTGGTATTTTCGATTTTGAGTTTGCTTAAGAAGTCTATTTGTCTTAAAATAATACTACAATATCTACTTATTTTGTAAACTTTGATTAAAATGGTGATGATTAATGAATAATTTATATAATTTAAATTAAACTCATCTATTTATTTCATTTATTTTTCTTAATTTTATTTACATTACTAGGTAAGATAGACTCATATAAATCATTGACTTTTTTCAGTTTTTCTAATTACTACTGTTATTAATTCCATCCAAAGTTGATTCTATCTGGCTCTTCATAAGTTCCCATAATTCTATCCCAAATGGATGTGAATTTACCGAAATTCTTCATTCCACCTAAACCTGGTTCATGATGAATTGTATGGTGAGTACTATATAACAAAAATTTTAATGGTAGAGCAGGAACATTATCATGAATTGAAATTGCCTTTAATATATTAAATCTTTAAACTTACCCAAGAAGTTGTACATAGACCAAAGAATAAGAATAAATTCATGTGAATTGGAAAGAGAAAACAAGATGTAAATAAAGGTACTGCTTAAGCAAAAGCATCTAATGGATGAAATGCAAATCCACTGAATGGTGTAATGTCTTTTGAAAAATGATGGATTCTATGTAATTTAATGTATAAATAAGGGTATGTATGAAGCCATCTATGTACCCAATATCTAGTTGAATATATTAATAATCTACGTCAATGTTTCATCATATACAACATGTAAAATTATACTTATAGGAATATACCAATATCCATAATCACTAATATTGTAATACATCAAACTAAATCTAGGTTATGCAACTCTTATTATAGAGACAAGGAATGTCTCAAAAAACATGTTTATGATTGACCATTTGATATCATAGAAGATATAGAATTTAGCATTTAATTTAGGCAAATAAAGTTTTTTATTCTTTTTGAAAAAGTAATAATATGATGAACAAGAAAGGGTAAAGTATAAGATTAATGCAAATAAAAATGTTTAGCACACAGTTGACACATATTCACCAACAATTCCATCAAATCCAAATCTAATGAAATTACCTGCATAAGATGGATGATTCTAATATTATTCAAGTTTAATGTTTCTGTCTATCTTTATGAATCCCAATAACTCAGCTTATATTATTTAATTGAATATATACCTAAATACCAAATCATCTATTAATAATGATTTATAATTTATATTGATTAAATATTCTTATGGAGTAGTATTAATATGTCTGTTAATTAAATAGCAAAATTTAACTTTTTATATTAATAATTTCAGTTTTATTAAGTTGTTATCGTGTAAATAAATACATTCGTTATTTTAGAAAAAACAATAAAAATAAATGTCAATAATAATAATTCTTTTATCCTTACTTTATTTAACAAATTAGATTTCATTGATAGGATAAACTGCTACAGGTAAGACCATATTAATTTAATTTAGAACGATATTTTCCTAAAATCATGAGTTGGATAAAGAAATAAGATTAAGGAATTGATTAAAGAGTCGCTTTTGAGTCTATATAGTTGATGTTTAAATTTGTAGAAGAAGAACTAACTTATGAAACAGAAAACAATGAATTCTTGGAGTTATTTGAATAATAAGTAAGCATCATCTTTCTATTTTTTAGGTCTTTAATCTTTGTTAAACTAAGGCAGATTCTGAATTACAAATCTATGAAGCTATGATTAAATTCTTGAATGAGGATCTTAAAAATGATGTCAATTTCTTCAAAAATATGATCAAAGACAAAGAGAAGATGTTAGAATAAGATATCAAAGAAATTGAAAAATTAAAAAAATAAACCAAAGATAGGAGTAAAATAGAATAAAAGCTTAAAGAAATAAGCTACCTTATTAAAGAGATAGATAAAAATTTGGAAATTGGAACTGCAGAAAAATTATATGGATTATTAGAAATAATAGAATCTAAGGCAGTTATTGGATTATTTTAATATTAAAATGAATATTAAGAAATTTAGTAGTACTTAAAAAATGTGGATTTGCTATTTAAATCGAGAAATTTTTAGTAAGATAAAGTAATATTATGATAAATCATTTGTAGTTTGAAATTATTAACTTGATTTCTATGGTCAAAAATGTCCTTCTAGATTTACATTTAAACATTATAATCAAATTATAAGAGGAATAATTAGATGAATATGAGGCTATGTCTTTTTTTGAAAATAGTAAAGTCACTCATCAAATAGCAAGAGATTACTTTTAAAATGAATTACACACATTTTTATGTATTTTAAATAAATTTAATAGAAACTTTAATAAGTAAATGGGAGAATCTTATTTTGATATAAGAAAATACCAATGAAAATTTAGAAATCTTTAGAAATCTAATTTAACAACTAAAAATATAAAATACTAAAATAATTGAAACTAATAATCACAGTATACAATTAGTTAATTTCACTATAAAACATTTAGAACAAGACTTTTTGGAATAAATAAAAAGACAATGAATAAATCTGATTTAGAGTTATATATATTTAATAATAATTAATAATAATTAAATAAATTCTTAAACATAACCCATATATTATTATATTCAATAAATTAAAAAAATAAGAAGATCAATAGAAAACCTTCTAAAATAAATCAAACAGAATTCTTTTTAAATCAGATTGACCATTAAAATTCTGCAGTCTCATCCTTAAACTGAAAAATATCTATTTAAATTATTACTAATTTTGAGTCTTCCTTCAATGTCTAAATATTAGTAATTAGATGAAACATTGCAATTTTTCATCTCTATAAAATTAATTTGACATTTTCATTCATTATTTTTTTGAGTTCTGTCATTTCCATTTCCAATCTTTCTAAATTCTTCGATGGATGATGATTTATCTTGAAATTCTTATTTCTTTTTTTAATAAACCTTCTATTATATAATAAAAATAAATCAAATACCAAATTATTAAAAAAAATACGAATTATTGCTTTCAATGTTTTCTAATTTTAATCTATCATTAACATTTGATGTACCATACCTGATTTAAAATTCGTAATTGAAGTTCATCTTGAAATCCTTTTTCAATTTCATCAAGATAATAATAAGTTAAGATTAGAATCATAAAAGACTACAAAACAAACACCTAAAGAAGTTTTATAAATAGCTGTAAATAGTAAAATTATGAATACCTTTTTACATTGCTTTATTAATCCATCATAGGCTCTAGTTTGAATAAATGATTGATTAATGTTATACCTATGATTGTATCAAATATCATGAAATTTTAATTAATTATTTCTAATGGATGGTTGGAAAATATAAAGATATGCAGAAGGTTTTAGATAAAAGAAATAAAGAATAAAACAATAGATTTAATAAATATGTTAATAGAAAATATTGTTAAAAAATACTTGATATTTTCAATATATATAAATCACTCAAATATTTAGTTATATAAAATAAGTATTTCAACTAATAAAATGAGTAAGCAATAATAAATAATTAACAAATGGACGATAGCAGATCAGAAAAACATACACATAAAATGGTATATCTATATAATATACATTAGAATATCGACCATATAAAAGATGAAAATATATTCTGTTTAATTTGTGACGAATAAGATTATACAGAGTAAAACTAAATAATATTTTGTGATGGATGTGATGTTACTGTTCATTAAGAGTGTTATCATGTTGTAAATTTGGGAGCAAAATGGTATTGTCAGAAATGTTTGGCATTAAATGATGACAGAGATTAATAAATCAATTGTTAATTTTGTCCAGAATAATACTAAATACTTGAATTAGTTCAAATAAATGGATAACAATAATGGGTAATAAATATAATTTAAATAAATTAAGGCTCATTCAAGTTGTTTGAAATGGAACCCATTTTTAGTTTAAAATCCTTAAAGTTATAATTTATACACTTGTGAAATAGATCTTCAAACAGGTTACAAGTGTCGTTATTGTTAAAAGATTGATGGTTTTCAATTAGAATGTTAATATAAGGGATGTTAGGAGGCATTTCATATAGGTTGTTTGAAGGTGAATGGAGGGATAATGAATAAGGAGGCAATGGAATGTATACACACATATATGAAACCGTATTTGAAAATTCAGGATGAGAAACTGTTATTTTGCACAGAGCATGTAGAGGAATTATTGTGTAAATTGGATGAAAATTAGAAAAGCATAATTGAAGAGAGTAATATAGAGATTGATTCATTTTAGACTATTTAAAAATAAAAAGTGAAAGATTGCATTCTTATTATGTTTACAATAGGAACAATAAATAAGTGATTGATAATAAGAATGAGACTAAAACAACTAGAAAATAAAGAAATTATGAAGATATGTTATTTGATGAGGTAGTTCAATTGAAATAGTTGAAATAAGCAAAAATACCAATAAAGGATAAAAAGGTTAAAATGTAATTTAAGGAGTATATGACAAGGAAACTAAATGATTAATTACATAAATTAAGAGATGATTTTATGAGAAAAAATCATAATGATCTTAATGCAGATGAGGATACTTATATTTAAATAGATACTTAATTAAGTAAGAAATTATTTGATAAGTTGGTTGATATTAATAATTTGGAAGAATTTGATAAGTATTTAGTGAGTTATTTCATTTTTAATAATATGATTCGAAAACCAAATAATCCAGAAATTTATATTAGAGATGTAATTATATTTATTAATGAATAGGATAATAGTAATTATTAATATTGGAAAAAGATGTTGGATGAATTGGGTATTAAAAATGGAGAATAATTTTCAAGGTTTTTGAATGTGCTTAGATTAAAGAAGATGAATATTGTGAGTAGGAATAATGAGAAATTGCAATATGAATAGGATTTACAATAGCAATTCGAGATCTAAAATAATGAGTTGATTGAATGATTAATATTTAAAAATAAAAATATCATTTTTAAAATAAATGGGCAGAACAGGAATAGCAATTGGTTTGAATAGAGGATTCATAACATCCTCTTTAACAAAGAAGCAATTAAGAAGAAGACCATCATAAAGAAAAGGAACATTAGGTAAGAGAGTGCTTTCTGTCAGAAAAGTCATCTAAGAAGTAGCAGGATTGAGCCCATATGAAAAGAGAATTATTGAATTATTCAAAACCAATCAACCAAAAGATTTAAAGAAGGCAGGAAAATTGGCAGCTAAGAGATTGGGTACAAATAGAAGAGGAAAAAGAAAGATTGAACTTGTCTAAAATCTTTATAGAGCCATGAGAAAGTAATAATAAACAAAACATTGATATATTACATACATTATACCAATATAATCAATCTTGCTTTCTTTTTCTTCTTTAGCAAAATAACCAATCATATTTTAATTAATAATATTCCCATAATCCCATCCCCAATTCTTGTCTACTCATACCTCTTTCAATATTCCTTTTTAAATATTTATGTCTATCTTTTAAGATCTTTCCAATAATATCAGTAGTTGATATACCTTCAGTTCTTTTTGTTGCCTATTCATAGATGTATCTTTATATTACTTTGAATTTTCCAAGTTTTTTGCATAAAGCATATGCATCATCAACATCAGCAGTTGTATATGGAATATCATCATGAGCAACATAATCGATACGATGATCATTTAGGAATTTCTCATCGATTATCCATGGAGCAGGATATATAACTTCATCAGCCCTTAAAAATATAAATATAATCTTACCATTTACAATGTTTAACACTTTCAGTTCTTTGATAACCATCCATTACAGATTTTCCTTTGAATTTCTCAACATCCTCTTAAGAACACACTCCCACTATCAAATAAGTGTTTGGAAAGAGCTTCTTGCATTATTCTAATTAACGTGCATGTCCATAATGAAACATATCATAGACTCCATCAGCATATACACGTACTTATTTTTCATCTTTGTTCATTTATATAAATAAAATATTAAAATTATGTAAATAAATGGCCGTTTGTAATTTGACTTAAAACTAGATGATAAAGATTATAAAATAAGTGGTGATATTTTCATGAAAGAAAACATATCTACAGATGTTGAGAAAGAAGCAGAAACAATAGCCAATAGAATTATTGAAAAAGTCCGATAAAAATCATTAAACAAATCAATTAATAAATCTGTTTAACATAAATATGAATCATAATCAGCTACTAAATTCAGTCAAACTGAACATTTTAAATCTATTGAATAAAGCAATTCTCGATAAGAAACTTTAAAAAATGACTATAAATAACCCTATTTATCTGAATATCAAACTGAATTTAGATCTTCTTGTAAATTGAATAATATAGATCAACAATAACAACTAGATATTTGCGAATTAATTACTCCATAAAAACATAAATAACGAAATACTAAATCTTAATAATGTATTAAAAAAGATCAACCAATTCATAAATAGTCTACAACTATTTAATTAGCTGAAAGTCAATATATTATAGAAAATAATAATAATTCCAATACAAAAGATGGAAAACAAATTATTTAATTGATGTATTATTTTTATACTATTAAATTAGAGATAATGCACATAATCTAATCAGAAAAAATTCATAAATTTTAAATAAGGTTTAACTATAGTCTCCTCTTTAATCAGTTATAAATACTAAATATCTCAATACTTAAAATAATAAAAAGAAAGAAGATATTGTTACACAATTATTAGGAAGTCTAAGAAATGCAAAAAAAATTAAAGATGAATATTAAAAAAGATTCTTTTGATTACTTATATTTTATTAATACATAAAGTAATATCATTTCAAAATTTATTTAATTTCATATCTTAATTCTAAAAAATGTCTATATTCAATAAGATATTTTGAATTATGAGTTATTTAATCTAAAAATTATAGTAAATCATTTTAATTAAATTAAGGCAATAATCCATATTTATATAAAATTTCATAATATTGCGATAATGTTTTCAAAATTTACAACTCTTTTGTATATTATATCACATTCTAAAGTTTTATTTTTGTATATAAATCATGATTCAACTCTTAAATACTTAATTTAATATAAGATAATAATCCTTCTTTAGTTAAATTATTTATTAAACGAGAAAATTCTTAATCATATTTTATAATATCATTAGAAAATTCAGGAATACTACTAACCTTATTTAATTGATTCTAAAAAATTAATTAAATTTTTGAGTTATCTTAACAGACTTAATCTAATCCTTATTATTTTATTTTATTTTCTCCATTATTTGAATCAGAAGAAATTAAATTAATAAGTGCTGCTGATAAAATAGTCAAATGTTTTGCTGATAATATACATAATTTCTCTTTTAACCAAGGTGAAATCAATTTGTAATTTTCAGATAAAATGAATTTAATTACATTAAAATAATTCTAATATCCTTGTATTGTATTATCAATTATGATAAATTAGTCAGAATCTGTTTTTGTAATTTTTGGAATAACAGGAGCGGCCAATCTATCAACTTTTACAGTTTTAAAATTATTTTTTTTCTATTGTTTAACGAATAATCTACTATTAAGGATATCAGATATGCTGGATCGATAATTTAAATCAAAAACCAAACAAGTTTGAATTAATTGTTTTATATATTCAGGTATTTCTGGTATATCTGGAATATTAACTTAATTTCTTGTTATTTCATAAATTAAATCTCTCTCATTTTAAGCACTCCAAGGAGGAATACCAAATAATATTTCATAAGCCATTACACCAAAACTCCAAATGTCACTTTTTAAATGATATTAATTTCTTATTAAAGTTTCAGGACTCATATATAAAGGAGTTCCAACATTCATTTCAGATCCTAATTGTGACATTTATTTTGCAAATCCAAAATCTGCTATTCTTATAGTATTATCAGATATTAGTATGTTTTATGGTTTTAAATCTCTATGAATTATGTCTTATTATATTAAATATGATTTACTTTCTGATTACATAGATGCGATGCCATATATAATTTAAATTATAATTTGTATAGCAATATTTGAATTTAATTTACCGTGTTTCTTTATATATGATTATAAATCTCCCTATTTGCATAATTCAGTTATTATATAAATGTTGTTTTTAGTGTAAAAATAATCATATAGTTTGAGTATATAATTTCCTTTCAATTTTGAAAGTATTGTTATTTCATTTTGAATAAGTGGTATTTAATCACTTATTTATCTTTAAATAACCTGATTAACTTATTTAATATACCTTAATGGCTACTTCTTCTTAAGTAAGATCATTTATTCCTTTGTATACAATTGAACTGAATCCACGTCCAACAATATCTCCAAGAGAGTAAGAATAATTCATAATTCCTCTTCTTTAGAAATGCATATTGTATTTAACAATTAATTAAATAATATTATATCAATATTCAGTTTGAACAAATAATGGCCACTCCTCTAATAATCCAAAATTCTGGTGATTCATTAGTTTTTAATGGGATATCCATTATCTTCTTATTTCTACTTTTAGTACTATAAACTGGAATTTGTAAATACTCTTGATATTATTATAATTGAGTGGTTAGGTTGATGGATATAAGAGGAACTTATGAATATAATACATTTATTTATGGTTCAACAATATTTTGTTATTCTTCATCCCATTAACATTAATCAAATAACAATCCTTCAATTAAATAACCTTCAAAATTATGATTACAAATTTTGAATTCAAAATTCAAGGTATCAACTGGAATAGAATTCTTTCTTGCATAATCTTATTTAACACCTGTTAAAAATGTTTAAGGATAGAAAAAATAAGAAATATTTACTAATTCTGGAATTCCATTATCAATCCATTTCTAAAAATATTTGATTCTTTCTTATAAATTTTAAACAAAATTAATTAGATTACTGGTTGTAAAATATGATTTTTATAACCAACTAGATGGAATTACTCCTGATAAAAGATTATAACATATTTGTTCCATTTCTTAATTCATAACTTCTAATCCATCAAGTGATTTTAAAATAAATTCTAAATCATTTTTTATTTGAATTATTAATTTATTAAATCTACAACATTCTTATATCAATATTGTATTTAAAGGAGTAGTATATTGATGTTCTAAATGATCATATTATAGAACATTTAAAGAAATAGTAGAAATCAATAATTTAAGTTATTCTTCTTAATCATTTATATTTAATATACTACTAATATTGCATAACTTTCCATTTAATTCATTTGTTTCATTTATCTTTTAATTTATTTAAGCATTTAAGTGTAAACCAAATAATTGATTATCATCTTAATATGATAATGCATTAATCTAATCTAGATAATCATTTAACATCATTGGATATTCAGAATCTTCAACAGTTAAATATTTATCTAACAATATTTTAAGTAATAATCTATCATTATTATCAATTACTCTTCCTCCATAATTCAATTCACTTATTAAATATTTCAATCCTTCTGTATCATAATCTAATAATTACTTTTATGAAATTTCTAAATCAGCTTAAGAAAAATCATAATAACAATTCCATCCTATATTTCCAAACTTTCTTCTTTCTAAAACTATTGCATGAAATTATGCCAAACCATATAATTAACATTTGAATTATAATGGTTTTTCATTAAATTTCTTTTCTTCAATAGATGAATATATTCTTAATAAATTATTTTTATATCCTTTTGGATATTCAAATGTAAATTTTTCACATTTCTATAATAATTTAATTGAAAATGTATCAATTGGATTTGTTGTTAAAAATAATCTAAATTTTGAATCCTTTTATATTTATTACAATTAATTTTCATATATTTATTCAATTGATCTTATAAAACTTTTGGCTAAATGTAAATTTTATAAAATAATCCATTAATTTTCTTCAATTGCTTTTTAGATACCTAATTCAGCTATTTAATTTTAACCTTATCCTAATGATAACGTTTACAATTTGATTTTTTCTGATCCAGCTTCTCTTAAAATAAAGTTTAATGGATCTGATCCAGAAGATAATATAAATAATATTGGAGTATTTGGTTAAATTTATAAAGGTTAAATATTAAATTATGGAATAATTGTAAAATGTTATCCAAGATAAAATTCAATAGTTTAATGTAGTTAAAATATGAATTAATATGGTTTAATTATTTTAGTTATTATTAATAAATGAAATGGTTTAAGATCTAAATCATAATTCTTATTTATAAATTCAAAATAATGACTAGTTAATTTTTGAACTATTTAATGATTTTTAAATTAAAAGGCATAATCATTTAATTAATTCCATTATTATTATGTTAGATATTCAGGACATGAAGTAGAACTCTAAATTAAAGTATAATTAGTATGTTAATTGAGTAAGAAATTAATCTCCTCTTGAGTAATAATATTTTCAATTAATAAGATTTTAAGGAATAACATAGTAGTAAATGTAAGTTTATCTTTTTCTAAGAGTGATTAACATATAAAAGTATAAAGTAATTTTGTAAAATGCTGAAACATAAATTTATTTTTCTCTAATTATTAATTTTGAGAAACAGATTTAAAAGCTTTAATTGATTAATCAAAAAGTTGAATTATTTTTTCTAAAGACCAAACATAAACAAATTCCAATTTCTATAAATCTCTAATAACTAAATATATAATAGAAATCTTTTTCGTGATATTCTTGTATTAATTTGATATCTTTTAAAAAGTTTCTTTGTCATTTTCTGCTTTTTTTAATTTATCTTCTATTTCTATTTATTCATTTTTTGATTTCTATAAAGTTAGAATCAAAGTTTCATCTTCCAAAATATTACCATGTGTTCCATGTAATAATTTTAGTATTGAATCCTCTGTTTATTGTTATTTATTTTTATTTTCATAATAATCCCTTATATTCTTTTATCTAATTTCTTCTTTTTAAGGTTCTTCCACACTTACAATATAATTTAATAAGAAATCTTCCAATCCTTCTTAAGTTACTTCAAAATTAATAAATTTCAAGTGAATACAAATTTCTGGACTGTATAAGGGATTTTTACTTTATATAAAAAGTCTAAAATCTGGATGCATTTCAATCTTTTTATCATTTAATTTTGCATAAGTACCACATGGGAATGGAATTTAGCTTTCATCAGGTTCTTACAATAATACTGGATGACCAATCTACATACAATTTTCAAAATTAAATTTAGAATTTAATTTTTCATTCCACATTAATAACCATTAAGATCCTTAATTTTAAGGATCAATTAATAAAACCCATTTAGTTGAATTTTATATGATTATAGCATTATCAATAGATAATTAATCGTTAGGTAATTTCATTTAATTAATCCATTATCCAACTATTATTTGATTACATAGAGTATTTAATAATGAAAAATTGGAACTAAATGTTATATTCTATAATTCGATTTTAAGTTATTCTAAAATAGATTCTCTAAATCCAAGGGGAAATGGTCCAAAAAATGTAATAATTGCACTAGATAATATGCAATCACCTTATAAAAATTATTTATTTTATTTATATTGATTTGCTTTTTGTCTCCAACTATCTTTTTCTTAAATTAATCCACTAATTAATTTTTCTGCTCTTTCAAGTTATATTTAACATTTATTAACATCTTCTTATAATTAATCTTTTTCTAATTTAGCTTAATTGTAATCATTTTGAAGTACATTTAAAAATCTTAAGATTTCTTTTAAAGCATCTATCTTTTCCTTTAATGCTAATTCAGTAATTTATAATTACTAAATAGCATTTTTTAATAGAATTTATTTAGGATCAACAATTAGATAAGCTTCAAATGTATCAACAACAGCTTTAATCCATAAACTTAAATTTCCTGCAGCCTTGGATGCATTAAATACTTTATCATCAAATTGAAGTCCCTTAATCTTTTAAATTCTAGCAGGAGTTATAGCTTTTATTTATTCCTCTTTGAAATCTCTGACTCTTTTAATTAATTTATCATTAAGTAAATTCTTTTTTGCATGTTCCCAAAAATCTTATACTTTTTCTTAAGATCCAGGTTCCTTTTGTTTCCACTTTACTTATTCATCAAATATATAACACATTCCTTCCATGACTAATGAGACAGCTAAAGGTGGTTTCTAGAAAGATTTCAATTAAATCATATCTTCATTTGTGATTTTCTCTAATGCAGATGTAGCTGCTGCTAATATTGGTAAAACTTTATCCAATTCATCTTAACACTCTTATTTTAATTGATCAGCTTTTAATTTTTCTTAAGTGCATTCATATTCTTCTTATTCACATTACTATTTCTTTAAATCTGCTTCTTTCTGTTTTTTTTATAGATTAATAAGTAAATGAGAATTTTCAAGAGTTAATTTATGTAATTTTGGATGTAACTCTTATAAAGTTGCTTTCATTAATGTAACATCTGATTCTGTTTATAAGATCTTGTCAACACCATGTGTATATCTTTAAATAAATTTATCTGTTTCTTTCTATTTTTATGAATATAAAACTTTATATTATTTTAAGAATTCTAAAAAATAAGGTTAATAAATTTAAAGATATGGTTATTGATTTTTTATTTGTTTACAATATTATTAACTTTCTTTCTTTATAATACTAAATACATTTAATACATCTATGTCATATTATTATTATGTTTCTATTAATGCTTCTTATGGCCATTCTGTAAACCAATCAATAGTTGTATTATTAATTAAAGTAGGAAATAATCGAATCCTATTTCTAAATTATTCACCATTTGGATTTATACTTAAAATAAAGTGTAAATTTTGATGTGTCTATTTAACAAATTAAAGATAATTCATATGATATTCATTTAAATCTTCTATTAATTTCATTTTATCTTCTGTTGTATATAAATTCTACATTTCACCAAAATTTATAAGATTACAGATTTATTCTAAATTAAAATTATTTATTTAATTGCAATTAGCATATATTATTGTATTTTTTAATTCTAATCCTGCTTATCTTATAATAGATTATAATTCATCTTTATCATTTGTATAATTATTCATTTCTTTACCATATAATATATATGAACTCAAATTTGAAAGTGATTATCTACCACTACCAGTTAATCCAATTAAAAGCATATTTCCAAATTCTAATCCTCTAATAATTCTAATTATATGATTTATAGCATATTCAAATAAGACTATGTTATTATCTTAAATTATCTTTTAATATTCATCAAGTTTAGAATTCAAATATTCTCTTAAAACTTATTGATCAACACTAGTGTAAATCTTTGTATAATTCTAATTTTCAATTGTAATTGGAATAATGTTTGTATAATATAATTACTTAAATTCATAATTTTTTTTCATATTTTATTATATTAAATCTAATAGCATTTGATTGAATTTTTCATTCTCTATCATCCTATCTGAAAATACTCTTTGACATTCATTCTACCATAAATTAACTAAATCTCTATCTTTTTATATTGTCCTTACATCTCCTAAATATATTCCTTTAAAAACTTTCCAAACATCTCTTAAATTAAAAATGTAATGGCATTTAGAAGGTGTTGCTAAATACTCTTATTTAACAAAATTAAATAATCTTATTGTACTATTAACAATTAGATTACTCATTTTTATTATTGCATTATTTACTAATTGTTTTTAACCCCATTAATTTAATATCCATTAATTTAATGAATTAAATATTTTTATTAAAGATTCATGAGAATACTATGGAACATATAATAACATGAAATGTCTCATAAATCTTTGATTGACTTATTTTTAAGTGGCACAAATATACATAGTATCTTCAAGATGTTTGAATTCTTTTGTTTCTATATCATACCATCCATTTGTATCAATATGCTATCTAATTAATTCATTTGGTTATTCATTCATAGATAAATCATCAATAAAAACTGAACAAACTGCTTTATTTTCTTCAGGACCATAATGTCCTTTACATCTTCTTTAACTAATCTTATTTTCAATCAATTATTATATATAATTGATTTATGTTTATCCACTAAATGTCAATTATAATTAAGCATGGTTCTAAAAATATTATCTTGTCTATTAAATTTAGATTGTTTTACCAGATCCAGTTTATCCAATCAAAATTAAATTAATTTTTTATTAAAGACTTTAATTAATCCAAAATTGAGTTTTTATTGTGTCTATACATTTTATATAAAGATTATCAAATGATTTTGATTAATTAATTTATGATTATTGAGAATCTACATTCCAAAATAGCCAACAATTTTTATTGACATCAAAGTAGAAATCATATAAATTTGGTTTATTAACAGGTTCCATAAATCTTAAATGTAATGCCTATGGTTCATATTAATATTGATTTTTAATAGAGAATTATTAGATTACATCATTCGAGGCTGTAATCAATTTCATAATCATAGAATTTAAAGTCTTTCTTTGATTTTCATCACATATTCCTCCAATAACCCATAAAATACAAAATAATAATACATTTATTTGTTAATCTTCATTTCTATAATTAAATGTTTTCATCATATTTAAAGATTATTAAACTAATTGGACATCTGTACATGGTACATAATATTTACCTTATAAAAAACCTAATGTACAATCAAATAACCATAATGCTTTCTTTTACATAGTATCATTAAAATTTTAATTATCCAAAATTACTCTCCATTACAATTATTCCATAAATAACATTCCACATCTAGTAACTGTTGCTGGAGATGCTTATTATAAATCAGATGTTTCAAAGATAATTTATGTCTTATCATATAATCTAATTATTTCTCCAGATGTTAAACATAATTTTTTATTATCATCCAAAACTGTATTCAAATTTTCTACCCATTATGTATCTACTGGTCCATCAAAAACTATAAGTTAATTAATCTATTATCTAAATATTATGGGTATAACTCCATCATAAAATTATTTTGTATTTCTATCCAATTTTCCAAATAATTAATCAATTAATAGAGCCTTAGGATTTATCTTATGTACTATATAATTATGTTTATATGCTAACACATTAATCAATTATGATTTTCCACTCATTGTTTCTCCAATTATCATTATACCATGTCTTACATCCATCAATTATTCCATCTAAATGCATTTTTTAATGAAATCTGAATTTGCATCAAGTTTTAAACTTAAACAAACATCAGATAAACCTTATGTATTATATTATTATTCAATATTGCTATTAGGGAATAAATCTTAAATAATTGAATTAAATAATTAAATATCCTAATTAATTAACTTTCCTAAATTTACATTCATTAATGCTTAGATACATTTAATTTCTTCATCTTCATTATCAATTTATGAAATAGTTAATAATACAGACTTCAAAGATCTCATCCCAAAATCATAATGATCTTATGTTGATAATTATTCTTATGATAATTGTAATGCTATAATAATCTTATTTGATAAATAATTTGCTTATTAGAATCCAATAGAATATAAAAAGATTTCAGTGATCAATTAATAATCTGGTTAAATCATTGCACATGGTCTAAAGAGTATTTTAAGATTATCTGGCAACTCATATCTACCTACATAACCTGGATTCATTGTAATATTAATTTAGCATGATTTATTTAAAAAGTATTCATCTGTTTCAAAATATATCATCTTTTTCTATTCTTTTATACCTTATTAAATTATAATAATTTATTAAGCAACTACTGATAATACTTCTAAATCAATTCTATTAAATTCATCAAAACAACACCAAGCTCCACAACATATTAATCCTTTAAAGAATTTACTCATAGACATTACATTTAAGCCTTCTGAACAATTAAAAACTATACACTAAATTCCTAAACATTTAGCTAAATCTTTAACTGTTTCTGTTTTACCAGTTCCTGCAGGACCTTCAGGAGCACCTCCATAATTATTTTAAAATGCCATAATAAGTGTTCTATAACATCTATCAGTTAATGGTGTAATGACTAATCTTTATGTTAAACCATAATATTCAAATCCATATTGTATATTACATGATAACAATGAAACTCTTAGAATCTTTTCATCATAGAATCTTAAATTGATTAACCAATTAAAATCAGTCTCTTTTAAGGATTCAATTTTACATAAACTTTCAGTTTAAGTTCTATTATGAACTAATAATATTATTATTTAACTAATTTGGATTCTTTAATAGATATTTAGATTTTTCTATTATAAAATTTAAACAAGATTTTTAATTTGTTATTTAATTTAATGTAATACATTCTCTAAAGAAATTTAAGAAATTAATGCTTATTCTATAGATGAAGTCCATTTAACTTGTGTCATTGTTTAAACACATTATGATGGCCATTTTAAATACCACTATTTATCAGTATCTTATGCACATTCTTTCATAATTCTTTTGATTGTTTCTATTATAATTTGATCAAATTCTTGCAACCATTTTTCAACATTACCATATTTATCATTTTCAATAACATTGCATGATTTATATAAATTAATAATATCTTTTTCTGGAGATATGATATTCAAAATATTTTCATTATTTTCATCAAATAATAATTCATATATTCCTTCATAACACTTTTAAATATGTCTATTAATAAGTAAAGGTTCTTTAGTTTAAGCTAAAATTTCTAGGAGTCCATCATCAGATAAAAAAAAGAATCTAGGGAATACCTTTCTTTTTTATTCTAAGTAATTACTAAGCCCTTTCAATATATAATCTAATAAATCATTACAATGTTTGCTCTCTTATTTATATCTTTCATTTTCAATATTTTCCCATACTAATGGATCTTTTTAAAAGTTTTCAGTAATCTATTTCCAAAACCTATCAATAAAATCAAATTTATTTTTTTCTTATGGTAATTTTTTTCTTATATCTTCTGATTAAAATATAGGTTATAAGTAAATGTATCCTTTTTAAGTGGTTCTCCAATTTTCTAAAGTATCTTAAATGAGAATAATCTTCCTTTCTACTACTATAGCTTTATCCATTACAACATAAGGACTTTATTTCAATAATAGAATAGTATTCAATTATTCATCTAATAATATTTAGGTTTCATCAATCTTCATAATATTGGAATTCTTTATGAATTCAATTTTGATTTCCTTACACTTATCAACTACTGCATTTAGTCTTTTTTCAATATCATATGAATAAGTAGCTTTCTTAGATATATCTTCTATCTAAATCTTAAATTATAAATAATTATGTTCTAATAATTGATTAAGAGTAATATCATCACCCAAATAACCACATATAGCATAGATTTCATCCCAAATTTTTGGTTTCTTTTATATTGCCTCACAATTCAAAAATTCAATTAGCCACATTACTTCCTTAAATTTGTCTAAATCCTTCTTCAAATCATTTAATAATCTCAAAGCCTTATCATTTGATTGATCCTAAAAATACTTTAATAATATCAAAGTTTCTTTTTAATAATATTATATCATTTTTCTTTCAATTTATGAGTACTAAAGTTTCATGAATTAACCTTAATACCATTCTTATTTATCTATATCAAATTCTATAGCTAAATCCCAAATTTTATAAAATGGCTCAAAATCCTATTTGATTTTGATTAAGTCATCATAATCACTTAAAGGCTATTTGAATAGATTTTCTCTATCATTAAATGATCTTACCTTATCTTAATAATTATTTATTTTCTCTTTTAATCCCATCACATTTTATGCATAAGTTTTTACTTAACTATAATCTTCATAAAATTTAATCTCTTCAACTTAATTCTCTAATACTAACAATTCTCTTATGAATAATTCCTTCTCTTAATCTAATTTCTCTGTGAATTTTGTCTCTTTTAAATGAACATTCCTTTATCCTTCAACTAAAGCTATTCTTATTTCAGCTGGCCATTGTTTTAAAAACCATAAATTTTCAATTTCTTTATTATCATATTAATATTAATATTAATGTAATAAATCCAATGTTTAGAATAACATATTTACTTCATTTGCTAATTTAGCTAGATTTACTTCAGTTTCAGCTATAAAATTCTTTAATTAAACCATCTCATGTTCCTCTTTAGGTTCTTCCAATATTCTTTCACACATATCTTAATATAATTTACTAATTCTTGATATATTATCAGTTAAGACTTCACTTAATCTATTCAATATTCCATTAATAATTTCTTGAGACTTTTAAATTAAAGTTAATTTTGCTTATTTTGTTTTTACTTAAAAAAATGAAAAATTCTTTTCATCTATACATAATCTTTCAATACTAAAAATTGTTTATAAATAATAATTTAATTTTTCTTTAATTTTATCCAATTCTATATATGTAATAGCAGGTTTTTCCTTTGAATCTCCAAATAATCTTTTCATCAAATGACTTTAACTCTTAGTATATAAATAAGAGAATTCATTGAATTAATCTAAAATTAAATTTGGTAATTTCATAGCATTATCTATAAAAGTAACAATTTATTCAATTGCAATATCAAAATGATGAGAAATCTATTCCATTTGTACAGATAATGCTTATCCAATATCTATTAAAGGCATTATATCATTTTCAACTTTCTTAACTTATGAGACAGTATCTTTTATAAATTAAATAGGATTGACTAATGCCTATATAATTTATTATCTGGTTGGTTCAAAAATCATATATCTTTCTTCTCCAAATGTAGATTACTTATGTAATACTGTTTTCTTACGAACTATTTATTATATAACAATATTAATTTATATGAAGGGTTCTTTACTTAGATTCTCAGATTCTTCTGTAAATGATTTTATATGATTTACCCATTTTGTTATATTCATTTCAACCAAATTTTTCATATTTAAATAACTAAATTATTAATCTATTCTTTTTAATAGTAAACATAATTATGATCTTTAATATCCTACATCATCAGTTTAATAAAAATTGAATTATGATCTTAGACTATCTTAAACATCTTATATAACTTATGTTCTCCAATTATTAAACATAGTTAATTTAAGTACATTATACATTTATTAATTATATGCTTCTAAATTAGATAAAACAAATGGAAGTTGTCCATAAGGATAATTTGTTGGTAACAATTCAAATGATTATTCTTTTATAGTTTGAATTTTTACAAAAGTTTATAGAATATATTTATTATTTAAAATAGGAGATTGTGATATTTATTATTTAACTTACTGGAAATCTTTTTTTATATTTTTTAACTTTGGAAACTTTTATAAAATACCATTCATATTTCTCATTTTAATTCTATTTTATATGAAATCTGTAATAAAATCACTTTAATTCATTCTCTATAGAGTAAGAAATTTCTTCATAAATAACTTATATTCATATTCAATTTATTCAAAATCTATATTCGATTATTTATTTAATTTTAATTTCTTCTTAATATTTATTTTAGTTTAAATAGGTAATGAAGTGATTAGTTAATCAGGTATACTATTTACATATTTAAAGAATCTTAATTCTTCTTCAGCCTATTTCTATAATATTCTGCATTATTAAAGTCTCAAATTAAATTCTGTTTCATTTTCAGTTTTCAACATTAAAGATAATCTACTTACATATTTAATTTAATCATTCTTCATAATTTTAACTATAAATTTCTATTAATTCTAATCATAATCTAAAATTTAGACTTCTGTCCAAACATATCCATTTCCTTCATAAAATGGACATTTAGCATGATAAGATTTATCATTCTTAAATTATTATATAATATCTGTAGGAGTTTAAGGATCATCCCAAGTTAAATAATTTTTTAAAGTTTTATTAGTATTAAGACCTTGCAATTCAAAATTCATTTCTTCATCATTTACTTTTTCATGAAATGACATATTTTTCCTATTTGACAAACGACTAAAATTCTCTTATATTTTTACAGGGTTTCTAGCTGGTTTAGGTAAATTAGTTTTTAAGTTTTTCTTGCATAAATCATTCATCCATTAAAAATTTGAATCATCCCTTATAGTGATTATCATTGAATGTTAACCTCTATTCCTAGAATTTGATCTTGCTTATCTAGTAACTGGTTTTGTGATAATTCTTTATTAATTTCTAAAGGTTACTTCTATTGAAAAATTTCTTTGGTTGGCTCTAGCTTTTATTTTATTGCCTAATAACTAACTTATTGATCTTAAAAAGATTAATTTACTGCTTCCTTGTTTTTTTCATTTATAATATTATTGACAAGCTCACTAAAATTTAAATAGTTATGTACCGGGAATCATGAAAATGTTATTGAGTTAGTAATAGTTCATCAACTAAAAGTTACTCTTTCTTAGCCTATGAGAAATTGATCTTAGGTAATTGAGCTTTAAAAATTGGAGCGATTGTCATTCTTTTTTGACTCATCCCTATATTAATTAAAAAATATATATAAATTATTTAGCAATTATTTTTGAAATATATAATAATATATATTTGATTATTAAGAAGATATTAAAACAAATGACATTTAATATTATACTTTTGTTTTTCTATTTATCTATATTAATGTTTTAATTTCTAATTAATTAATATATATTAGATGTCTTAATAAAAATAAACAGTTTTCAATTATAATAATGAGGAAATGTAAGAAAATTAATCTAATCATTTAGAGGTGGTTGTTTAATGTTGATGTATGATTCAGATGATGAAGTTGATAAATTTAACTAAAATCTTTAAGACAGTCAAATTCAATTATTAAAAACAACTACTAAAATGCAATCAATTTAACTATAGAATAATCAAAATATTAAAAAATGATAATATTAAAATATTAATCTATATACTTAATGTATTAAAGAACAATTATAGAAGAAAATCAAAATATATATGAAGATTGTAAACCAATAAGATATTTAGCAAGTCTGGTGGCATAGAATTAAAATAAAAAACAAAACAATTAATCTATTAATAAAGAGTAGCTTAGATTAATATGCATGATATCTTAATTGTTAAATTTGTATTAATTTTGATATATTGATATTATGGTTTGAAAAGTCGAGAAGAATAAATATGATTAATAATATTGAGTAAATTATAAGATAGTTCCTACAAGATTTATTATTGATTTAATTACTAATCTATAGTCTCCATGATTATACATTATGTATTATTTTATTTTTAAAATGCTTCATTATTTAATAATTAGCATTCTGTTTCCAGTTCAAATATTAGCACAATCCAACACTTTAACATTGACATATGAAGTGAGTTAAAATTAGTCTTAGATTATTCTGATATTTTCAAAATAAATAAATGTGACATCTACATAAATGGAATAAATTACTGCAATTTATTTTCCTTAACAGAATAATTATACTTACAATATACATTCATAAGATAATACAACATATTACATAAATCTAAATTTTGCTAATCAATTCTATTATGCAAATTGTATAATCAGATTTTTAGCACCTTATTAGATTATTAATTTAAATTCGAAAGAATATTTAAATAAAAATTAATAAACAATAATAATTTTACTAGGTCCTTATATTTATTACAGCGATTTCTAATAAAATACTGTATCTGGATTAGTAATTTCTATTTATAGTTTATTTTTCCTATCATTCTTATCAATAATAGCTAATATAATCTATAAATTAAAGAATAAACAATTGAATATGTCATATAATATATTTATGTTTTGGTAATTACTAGAAAATTTGCAAATCTGTGGTGTGTTATATTATTTTAATACATAATTAACCATATAAATGAGAGATGTAACATCATATTTACGTTATTTTAATTTTAATTTTGAGATGATAACAATATTCAATTAATATTTAAGTGATTTCAATTACATTAATTAGACTTTTATTTTATGGATTTTTTATATTTCATCAATTATGATCATTTTATTAATATATTTATTTAATAGAAAAATTAATATTCATTAATTGCTATTAAGATCAACTTCAATTTGCTCATTACCTTTTTTATTATATGGATTTATAGAGATTGAGTATATTTAAACTTCTAGTGTAATTTAAATAATTAATACAACATTTGTCACTATAAGTTATGCCATTCTCATATATTATATTTTTCAATATTTGTAAGATTTTTGTTAAATATAGTTATTTATTGAATTGTTCTTAAGTTTTAAGTTAATTCAATGGTTTATAAACAAAGGCATTCTTTAAAAGAAACTTTAATTTATATTAGGAATTGAAAAAAGTGGTATTTACAAGTTGTATCATATTATTAAATAATCAATAAAATATATGTATTACTATTTTAGTTATTACATAAATAATAACAGTTACTTTATTAGCTACAAAACTACCATTTAAAACAAGAATCATAAATTTTATTATGCTTTGGAGTGAAATTTTAATGACATTATGTTTAATGTTAATAACTGCTATTATCTTGTTAGATTATATTAGTATTACTTACTTAGAAGAAAAAACTAGAAGTATTTTGGGTTGGTCTATCATAAGTTTATTTGTTGGATCCATTTTTATTAGAAGTTCAGGTTGTTTGATAGAATTGATATTAAATATATAAAAATTATGAGTTCAAAAGTTGTTGAAAATTATTCCCTTCTTGAAGTTATTGGTTCAGGACAGTATGGTAAAGTGTACAAGGCAGTGAACATAAAGAATAATAGTTTGGTGGCAGTGAAAGTTGTCAAAATCGAAAAATTTAAAGAAGTACCAAAATTGGAGGAATTCACTATGAATGAAATATAAACATTGGCTAGAATTAACAATCCATATGTTGTTAAATTTATAGAAATGCTTAAAAGTTCTCGTAATTACTATTTTGTTTATGAATATTGTAATGGACAAACACTTGAAGCAGTTATTTAAGAACAAGGGTAATAATTTTATATTTAATTAGGGTTCAAACTGAAAAAGAAGCTTTATATTATTTTAGATAATTGGTTTAAGCATTCTAATCGTTAATTTAAGATAATATTATGCATAGAGATCTAAAACCAAGCAATATTATGTTACATAATGGATAAGTTAAGTTAGGAGATTTTGGATTTTGTAAAGCTTTGAATGGTCCTCAAGATTTATCATCAACTATGGTTGGTTCACCTATATACATGGCTCCAGAAATATTAAAAGGATAAGAATATTCAATCAAAGCTGATATATGGTCTTTAGGATGTGTTTTGTATGAATTATTATATGGAATATGTCCATTTGAGGAGAAAACAATGGCTTAATTAATGTTGGCAGTTGAAGAGAGAGAAATTTAATTTTTAGATAATGTTAATGTAGTATCATAGACAACAAAGGATTTATTATTAAAAATGCTCACTAAAGATCCTAATAAAAGAATAAATTGGAAAGAATTATTTGAAAGAGAACTGACTTATGCAGAAAGTATAATTTTATTAATCTTTTAGGAACTAAGAATAACGAGTAATATACAAATTAGATATAATAAGAATTAACTTTGAATTCTTAAAGGAATAAAGAATCAAAGGCTTTTAAGTATTTATTGATGGAAAGAAACAAAATATTTTATTTATATAAAGTTGTTGAAGAAGTCTTAGAATTGAGCAAAGAAGAAGTTTAATATATTTATAATTATTATATCTTTTTAGAGAGATGAAACTCGAGAATCTTAGAGTATATTTTGTGCCTATCTAATTCTTAAATATATTTGTTATTTGATAGAGATGATCAGAATGAATCTAGTTGATAAATTTAATGTTTCAGCTTTTCCTCATCTTGTGAAAAAATAAGAATTATAAAATGATATTACCAAGACATTTGAATATAAAAGTTTTTGCACACTTATCTAAAAAGAAGTGGAAACTGCTAGAAAGATGTTTAAGCATTATTAAGATGAAGCAGATAAATTCTATAAATCATAAAATAATGGATAACATATTTATTAAGGAGCAGAGTTTTCTCATTTTGAAAGTGAAATTTAAAGGGAATTGTAATCATCTGAAATCTCAATAACTTTTATGAAAAAAATTGTATTAAAATATTGTGAAGATTTAAAGAGTTAGTTTTTACAATAATTTTTAGATAAGAACCCATAATTGGGTAACAAGTATATCTATACTTAATAATATTAGGTAATTGCTGCACATTGAAAAAACTTTAGAATCTTTAATCCTAGATGAATTTTTTGAAAATTGTATGGATATCTAATAGATTGATCTAGAATAATAAAATTATTTTACAATCCTTAATAAATATTCTAAAGGGGATCTATTGTAAGTAATTACTAATAAGATGGATTATATTAGACATAAATTATATAAATGATAAGATATTTTAATAATAAATATATTTAAAATCTTTTATAAAACAAAAGAAGATTAAAAATCTCGTTTATTTAAATACTCTATTAAAATATATGAAAATCCAATTTGTATTATTCAAATAATGGATTTAGATATAAAATTAGTATTTATAGATTTCTATAGTCTCTCATCAGGGAGCTTTTATATTTTATATAATAGATTAAGGTTGAAATTACATACTTCTTTTGGATTTATTAAATTACTTAATTTTTTTATTCTCATTAAATCTAGAATATATAATTTTAATGAATTTAAACTTGAATATGATGATTTAAATATTTCTTTTATTAAATTTCACCCATTTCAATAAAATAAAATTATAATATATGTAAAAATTAATATAAATATTTTCACTTTTATTTACAATAGGTTGATATGAATTAAGATAAATATTCTCAAATTAATATAATGAATTAACAGTAAATTAATATTATTATTATTCTTCTATTTATTTAGCTAATTAATTTTCATTAATTAATTAGAAATGAATTCATTAGATGATTAATAAAATTTTATATCATTCTTTGTTAATCATATAAATGTTATTATTATATTTAACGATGGTTTTAAATATAAGAATAGAAACTATTTTATGAATCAATATAATTTATATATTAATTATTCTTATCAATTAAAATTAAGTTAGACTATTTTCAGCTTAGTAATTCTTTAAAATTTAGAATTATTATTGATTAATAGAAATTTAACTATAATTTAAAAAATAAGAATTGTTAAATAATTTAAAATAATTGCAAATTAATAGATATTGTTGCTCATATTTATATATGATTCTTTGAAATATAAAATTTAATAATATAAAAAATAATTATGTCTGAGAAATTACCAAAACTAAGCTAGAAAAAAGCTAGGTCATAATCATTATATGAGAATCAAGTTGCCACATAAAAACTAAAGGAATCACTCTATAATTTATAGACAAGTCGTTATGGTCAGAGGCCTTAAAAAAATCCTGTTATTGAATCAATTGTTAAGGAGGCAGACGTAGTTCTAACTAACTAACATTTGAAAGAGAACTTATTTAAACTTAAGGAGTTAGGGTTATTAAAGAATTGTTAGCCAAAAATATTAACATAGTCAGGATTAAAGAAGAAAGATTATATATTAAATGATTATCATAATAAAAGCACATTAAATGGATATTCAAGGAATTACGGTGGATTATTTTATAACAGATGACTATAATTTACTAAATATTTTATATCTGTTATATAAAATTTAATTTGGATTTGTTCCTAGTCATTCTATTTTACATATTCAAAATTAAATAACTTGCAAAAATACATAAATATATATAAATGATTAATATTAAATAAATAATATAAGCAATTAAAGGATGTATTCAAATATTAATAATAAAAGAAAATATCTAAGACTTAAAAAAGTTTAATCCTTCCCCTGAGTAAGAGTGTGGTAATTAGAAAATGAAATTAATACACTTAGCAGCATCTAATCCTAGTATTGAAATTTTAGAATATTTTGTTGAAAAATCATAAAATTTAGAAATCACAGATTCTGTAAGATAATTAAATTTATATTTAAGATAGGAAGAACTCCATTGCATTATGCAGTAAATTATGGACTATTAAAAAATGTTTAATTATTGATAAAAAAAGGAGCAAAAATAGAAGCTCAAACATTAGGAGGTGATACACCTTTGATAAAATCTGCATTATTAAAAAATAATGAATGCTATCATTATTTAATTAGTGAAGGTGCAAATAAATTGCATTAAAATTGTATTGGACAAAGTGCTGAATAAATATATTAATAAAATTGAATAACTATAAAGGATTAATATTATATATTAAATAATAATGTTCTTTTCTCATAATACTTCTACTCTTTTTTATGAGACTATTAAATTCATTTAGATTTAGATGAAAGTAAAATGAGAAAGAAATTTGACTCTTATTATTAATTAATATATATATATATATAATAATAATATGCAATATATTTAATACCATCCTTAAATTATTGAGGAACTGAAAATGAATGAAACAAAGAGTTTGTTTTAATCAGTTGAAGTTTCTTTAATCAAATTATTTGAAGATAAGGATTTATTCAAAGAAATAATCTTACTTTACAATCATAAAAAAAAAGAATTAGTCTAATAACAAGTTCATTTTGGATTAAATTCTCTTATCATTGAAAATAAATATATTCTATTATGTAAGTGTTATTATGAAATGAGATATACAAAATTAAAGTAAAATGAGGGTTTTTATATAATTATCCTTCATAATTCAAAAGGTAAGGAATTTTTAATAATCAGTAATTCTAATTAATTTTCTAAAATTTAGGCTGTGATAAAAAGATTTTGTTTAAGTAAAAGTTTTTTAAGTAAATATCAATTGTTTGAATAAAGAAATTGTATTCCTTTTGCATAAAATTGTAAAGTAACAAATTCTTTATTAAATAGAATCAAGAGTTATATTGTGTTTTATAATTAGATAAGAAATAAATAATCACTGAATCAGATCAGGAATAATTCTATAATAGTATTATTATAATGAATTATATAAGTGAATAAACAAAGATTGTTAAAATTTATGAAGAAAATTCAATGTATATATTATTTATGAAATACATGAAAATGTAATCATTAGAGTCTTTGATTCTTAATGATTTTGAATTTAGAGAGGCTCCTTTAGTTTGCATAATCTATCTTATTCTTTAAACTTTACAAAAATATAAAAATCTTGGAATATATCATGGGAATGTTAGTTTAAAATCTATATTTATAAATATGTCTGGGGCATTTTTATAAATCATAATTTTGTTTCCAAAATACTTGATGAACAATAACAAAAATAGTTCTTTAGACTTGTTAAATTTAGGTTAACTACTTTATTAAATAACATTTTATGAAAAAAATGATAAAATTAAATAATTTGTTGACTAAAAACTAATTACATAATAAAGATAATTATTATAAAATATGAATACAGAAAATAAACAATTTTAATTCTTATATAGAATTAGTTAATTAGATTTACTAAATCAATTGTTATCATAAAGTATTACAATCGAAAATGCATTAAAACATTAATGGTTCATAACTGTGAAATAAAATCTTAAAGCTGAGTTTTTGAAAGAAACAAAAGAACGATTAGACTTACATACAATTGTTGAATCTAATAATGAATTGAGCATGACTATATCATTAGATAAAAGAATTTCAACTAAAGAATTTGCTGAGTATGGTATATTAAATAAATTATAGTGAATTCAGAAATTGAAGATGAATTTCCAGTTAAATGTTCAATTTTAAATCCTTTCTAAATGAATCCTTCAAAATAAAAACATGATAATTGTATCCCAAAATCAAAAAGTTTTTCTAATTTTGATTTACGTTTTGAAAATAAAGAAAAATACTTTGCAAATGAATAATCTCTTTTTATTTAATGAGACATACACTTTTTGCTATGAAATTATATTTAGAAATCAATAATTTTTAAAATCTATTAAAAATATATCAAATTAAAATTTTTTAAAGATTCTAATTTCTTTATTATATATTTAAGGATTTATATATTGAATTTATTATATATTTCAATATTAAATTATATAGAAAATTATGAATTTCTAATGGGTTTTAGAGTGTCTAAGAATAATTTTAAAGCTTCTAAGATATCATTTTATTTTTAATCATTAATCAGAATATAAAATATTATTTAATTTAATCATCTTTTTCTACATTTTTTACATTTCCAATCCATCTAATCAATTTCTTCTTATGTTTTATTAAGGGGTATTCCTGCACAACTTTAGTGATACCAACATTTTTTTTCACTACATTCAATCCATTTAGTATCTGTTCCAGGACAATTTGGATTTTCACATTTTTAATTAGTTTATTCTTCTCTATCAGATGTTTTTTCATCATTGCTCATAAACATACATTCATAGTCGCTTCGTACTCTCTTTTCAGGATTGTAAGCAATTAAATATGCTTTCTCAGTTTCAGATAAATATTTATCATCTTATTAATATATATTGGCTTTTCCAAATTTGATTTCATTTAAAAATTCTTCCTTTTTGAATTGAGATATTGGTTTAGTATTTAACTTCTATTTCATTTATTCCAAGGTAGCTCCAGGAATCCAATATTCTAATGTTCTTTTGATATTTAATTATTCTTGTAATTAGAGATCCATATTAAAAATTATTGTATAATTATTAATAAATTAAATAATGAAAAGCATAGCAAAAACAGAAGAAGATTCTCCAAAGAAACCTATTTGGGAATCTTTATTAGAGAGAGTATCCTAATTAATTAATTTAGGGATCATGTAAAAAGTAGGAAATCAAAAACAAAATTAAGGAAAAAAAAGTTAAAGATGAAGAATTAGATCCTGAATGCACTTTTAAACCTTCTTTAATCAATCAAACTTGTTCAATATATATAATATATTTTAGAACTTTAAATTAATAAGCCTTTTTATGAGAGGCAATAAAAATGGTTAGATGACAGAAATGTAAAGATTAATGAAAAAAGAGAGGGTGCCAAAGATAAATGTCTAGAGAACTGCTCATTTCAACCACAATTAGAACCATAATAATAAATACCTGAAGTAGACATTAGAAACACTAAAGGAATGGATTCATTCATTTAAAGACAGGATAAAGCAAGAAAATTAAAATAAGAAAAAAATTTATTATTAAATAATCCATATTCTCATTAAAGTTCAGAAAAGAAAGTAGTTTAAACAGTAATTATTGTATTAATACAAACTAGAACCAATAATATTTTAGTAACAATCACCCAATTTCAAAGGAATATGAGTCTATTAAGAAAGCAGAAAGAATCGAATTTTCAAAAGCTGTAGAGATGTCACAAGAAATCGAAACTTAATCATAAATTTAATAATAACAAAAAATGTAATTAGGAATGGCTATGAAAATGCTACACAACCAGTTATATAATATACAATTTAATAGTGAATTTTGATATATTTATACTTAGACTATTAGATAATAATGTTTTATTTATTATATTAACTCTTATGATAAATCAATATGTCTTTTTGATTCTCTCTGCATTTTTAGGAGAATCATATATTGTTGGTGGTCTACGCATTTCATGTTAAAAGTGATTATATTCAAAAGTTCTATTTGATCTTCTAGTATAAGCTAATTCCATTAAGAAATCGAACATATCATCCTATAATAAAAAATATAATTTACTGTGCATGCATATGCAGCCTCGTAAAACATTGCATAGCATGGATAGACTTTGGCTCTTTTCAAATAATCTGCTTCTGTCTTATCCATTTTAAAATGTTCAGCTTAATCACAATCAAACCATTTCTAAAATCTAAGTGCACATAATGTAAAATAATCTTATTATGATTAATAAGTAGGATAAGGAACATAGACTTTTTACTTGGGAGGTAATCCAACTTAAAAGCAATTTGTTCTACCAGTTGGTGTTGTACCTCTAAATGGAAATAGACAATCTTCCAATGCCCCTATTAGACTTAAGATGAATATATTACATCCTTCGAATAATATTGTATATACATCATCAGGTTCCATTAATGAATATTTGTTAGCTGTTGTATCAAAATAGAAGCACTATTTATGATTTTGAGAATACTTTTGTATATAATCTAAACCAATCTTTCAATTAATCCTTTTCCCAAACAGCATCAGTTCTCAATACAAAATCTTTTTCATAATCTTTCCAGTTAATTCCTGTAAGAATACCATAGCAAACTACCTTTGTGAGAGAAATTATAATTTGGTGGCATTTTATGGAAATCTTTGGGCAATGTTTCTAATAAAGGTTGTGTAGCCATTTTATATTTATATTTTATTTATTTATTAATATAAAAATGTATTGTAATAGATTTAAATTATATTTCTATAAATAGACTCTTTGATTCCTTAGTAGAACTGATTATTGAAATAGTATTTGTATTTCTATTCTAAAAAGGAAATTAAAGATATTACAATATTAAATAAATTGTAAAATTATAATTAATAAATAATTAAATGGATCCTGAAGATGATTAAGAAATCATTGATTCTATTGTTAATGGTAAATATATTTTATATTAGCTAAGCTCTGGAAAGTGATGAAGAAAGATCTTTTTCACCTTCTCAAACAAGATCAGATTCAAATAGAACTTATTCTCCATAAATTAAGAGATAGTAATAGACCTAGTATTCAATACTATTATAAATTAGATATACGATTAAAAAAATTTAAAGTCCTATTATTGGCTTCAAATTAGATTGTTGGGCAATTTAACCATTCAGTCTTGATGATGACTAATATTTAGATGGAGATTTAGTATATAATAATTTATTATATAGGTTCTCAAATGTAAAGATTAAACAAATAGTAGAAAAATATAAGGTTTATTTGAAAAAGGAAATGATGAACAAAGAGATTTTATATTTTAAAAATTATTACCAGGAATTGTAACACTTGCAAATGATATTTTTGGAAACTATGTTGTTTAAAGAATCTTAGAATAAGGTAATCAACAACAAAAGGAATTAATTTTTGAACATCTATCATAGTAAATATTAGTTTTAAGTTATAATACATATGGATGTAGAGTGGCTTAAAAATTATTAGAGATTTCTTACAACACTTAGAAATTTGAATAAATATTTAAAGTAATCTCAACCTAAGTAAGAAATTTGGTTATTGATACTAATGGTAATCATGTTATTTAGAAAATTGCTGAATTACTTAAATCCTAAAAGAGTGATTGGCTTATAGAAGGTGTTTTGGGATAGATTCAAAAATTATCTAATGATTCTCATGGATGTAGATTAATATAATAAATATTGGAAATATCTTCTATTTCATAAGTAATCATATAGATTAATAAAGTTGAATGATATTTATAAGGAATTATTATCTATATAAGAGGAATTATGTTTATCATAATATGGGAATTATATTATTTAAATATTGTTATTAAGAGGGCCTATTGATGTGATTTATAAAATTTAAAATGGTATTATTAAGAATTTAGAGAAATTAAGTTGTGATAAATTTGGAAGGTATTCAATAATATTAAAATAGTAATGTGGTTGATAAAAGTGTAAATATATCAATTTATATGAGAAAAGAAATTTTAAAAGTATTCATTCATAATATGAATATCTTTTATAAATTATCTAATAATTGTTATGGTAATTATGTAATATAAAATTTCTGTAAGTAACTTGAATATAATTAATTATTAAAATTATCATATGATTCAAGTTAATTTAATACTCAATTTGGTTAACATGTTTATTAAACCTTATAAAAATTGAAAAATTGATTTGATTATTAAGATATTATTTAATATCCAAAATGAATAAATTTTGGATTTTAAATATTATTTTTGTATATATTGTAAATATAAAATCTTAATATAAATAATATTTATATAATCTAAATTTTACGATGGGCAAAGACATTGAGAAGGTGAAAGAATAACATGTATTCATTTTTTATTAACTGAAGGCATCTTCAAGTAAGACAAACAAAAAGGACAAAAAGGAGAAGAAGGAAAAACATAAAAAAAAGGACAAGAAATAGAAAAAAGAGGGTAAAAAACAAAAATAATAAAAGAAAAATTAATGGGGAAGGTATGGCACAATAAGGTTATATAATATCATTATTAAAGCATTACAGACATGTATTTAAAACGTGAGGAGTTTTTGATGTGGCTTTCTGAAGTTAAAATGCTTAATATTGAAGCAATCACTCCTTAAGAAGAAAAAAAATTTTTTGAAGAATATGTTGAATGTTATAACACTGCAACATTTCCATCAAAAAAATTTTATAATTTCAAGGTTTGGTTTGAGAAGGAATAACTCAAAGGCCATTTACAATAAGCAGAACTTGAAATGCTTACTTTTGATGATGAAAAAGAAAAATAGTATTCTTATTTTTTTTAAATTTTTAATAGAAAGGAACAATAAGAGTAGAAAGAATTAATAAAAAAGCAAAAATTATAAAGAGAATATTAACATCTTCACGAATTTTAGAATATTGTAATAAATTGGTTATTTATTAAGGCACAAGACATGCAAAAATAGAAACAACTTTAAGAACTCTTGAGACATCATTTTTAGATGGGTAATCATGAGGCTGCTATCAAAATTTAAAAGTAACTTAATCCTATACATACCATTGATATGAATCAAATCTAATAATAACCTACAATCGACTATGACTATGATTATGAAAATTTCTGATCCTATAACATATATATTAAGATAAAAAATATTCCATTTATAAAATATATGTTAAAGAGTATAATAAAATTAAAATGTGTAGCTGTTAATTTATATAAATAATTTGAATATCAAATGGCAAAAATAATAGATAATTATATATTAATTGAGGGTATAGGATAAGGAACATTTGGTGAAATACATAAAGGCAGAAATTTGATATCTAAAGAAGCTGTGGCTGTGAAAACCATTAAATTAGATAGATTTTTAAATGATTCAATATTAAAGGATATGATAATAAATGAAATCTAAGCATTGAAAAAATTAGAGGATTAAAATATAGTACGAATGATTAAAATGTTAAAATCAGCAAACAACATTTATTTAGTTTATGAACACTTAAATGGGGGATCGTTAGCAAATTATTTATATGAAAAAGGTCGTCTAACAGAATAAGAAGGTAGATAAATTATGTCAAATGTATTTAAGTAATCAATTATTCTTAATATCTAGAGGATTCAAGACCTTAAATCATGAAAAAATTATTCATAGGAATATAAATCCAAATAACTTATTTTTTAATGATGGCATAATCAAAATTAAGAATTTCTTTTGTTGCAAATCACCTGCAAGTTAGAAATTATTTGATCCTGGTATTTCAAATATTTTATATATAGAAAACTTCATATATTCTGCTCCTGAAATATTATTAAAGACATAATAACCATAATATGAAGATAAATGTGATATATTCTCTTTGGGATTAGTGTTTTATAAGATGTTTTTTGGATAATTACCATTTCCAGAAAATCTATCTTAAGATCAACTTATTGAATTGTATAAAAATTAATAATTCAATCCAATTGTTGAAGATTTATCAGAAAATACTGCCTACATTTTAAATGGAATGTTATAAGTTGATTAAGCAAGAAGAATAGAATGGCAAACATTGTTTCATGAAGATTAAGTACCTACTATGTCAGGCTTAGTAAATTCAACAAATACAAATTTTGCTTCAAATTATTAAATTAATTCTTAAGTATAATAATTTGAGACTGGAGGTTAAAATTTTTATATTTCTCAACAATCTTTATAAAACCATATTACAACAAGTCCAAATGAATTAGTTAAAAGAAAAACTAATATTTCTGATAAGGAAAATATGAAAACAAATAAAGAAAATGATTAAGTATAAATCTTTGCTAAAACAACAGAAAAAGAATAAAATTTATCATAATAATAATCCTAACAATAAGTTTTATAAATTTAATAATCAAATAATAATAATTCATAGCCTAATGTTGTTAAATAAATTTAAAATTAATTAAATGAATTAAGACATAAATTTAATATTATAATTTAAGGAACTTGTAAAATTGAATAGTTAGAAAATTGGTCAGCTAAAATAAAAACAGAAATTTGCATGATATTTTTATTAAAAAAGGGAATTAAATGCATAAATGAAATGTTAGATATATGCTAGAATACTGATAGATAATGGACAATTTCAAAGAATAAATCAGAAATAATTAAGATCTTATAAAAAGATTATGATGATTTGATTTCAAATTACAAACATGTTAAATAGATGGTATAAAATTAACTATGTCTTAAAATAGAACACTTGTCCACATGAGGAATTGAATACTCATGAAATGATAGATGAATAATATGTGGATAATGTATTAATTATGATAGCAAAATAAATTGCAATGGATTTAGGATAAATTCGATCAAGTATGAGAAGCAATTCTCAAATTAAAAGCAATGTAATTTATATAATTTTTAATACAAATAGTCATTTAATTATGAATAAACTAGTTAGAGGAATGGTAGCTTTATTGAATCAAAATAAGGTACTTCAAATTAATATATTTTTGCAATATTTCTAATAGATTTAGTTAAAGGAATGAATTTTGAAGAATAAAAACCTTATTTTAAAAAGTTAGAAGAATCAAAATTACCTGAGTTACTAGACTTCAAACTCAAATCTATTTGATTGTATTTTATAATAAACATATTAAATAAAATTAATTTAATGATCTAAAAAACTGAGTACTTAGCTGATGAAGCCAAAGAAAGGGAATATAGAATTTAAAGTAAGGATGGTTTATATTAATAAAGGAATGGAAAAATAATTGATTGAAAATTAATTTAGTAAGCAAGCATATCCAAAAAAATATGATTATACTCATTCCAAAAATAATTATGCAATTCCAATAAATCAATTAGATTACAAATCATTTTATCAATCATATATGCCTTCAGATTAGAAATAGTCTCAGAATTTATAATTTCCTTAAAATAAAACTTCTTCATTTAAATTAAGCTATGATATTAATGATAAAGATTTAACACCAAATAAAAAGCAATAATAATTATAATATAGAGTTATTTTATAAAAATAAGTTGAAGAAAAACAAATTTTGTTATAATAACAAAAAATAAAGCATGAATACACTGATATTTTTACTAATAATTAGAATAGTACACCAAATAATAAAATAAACAGTTTAAGTAAGGCTGAATATTAGAATTATTTGTAATTGTAAATTTAAGAAAAATAAAGCAGTAATAAAATATATAATACACCTATTAAAAATTAGTAACATGTTGAGGAGTAGAATAAAGATAAAAATATTAAAGAATCAAAGGAATTTTCAATAATTTAAAAGCAATTAAAATAATATTAAGAAGAAAAAAAATAAAAAGATCCTAAACTTTTACTGCAGTAGAAATTCGAAGAGTCAACATCAATTCATGAAAAAACAAAAGAAAAGTCATTTTCTCCTGAACATCATAATAAAAAGAAAAATCTACTTTAGGAAGATGAAGAGGAAAAATTTAGAACACAATAACAGAAGAGTTTTGTTTCTAAAATTTTGATAGAATAAATATAAGAGAAATAAAAAAAAAGAGATGAAGAGAAGAAGCAATAAGAGACAGAAGATAAAATGGCCGAAGAGAGATGGAAAAATGAGGTTTAAATAATGAAGGATGAGAAAAAGAGGGAGGAAGAATTGAAAAAGGAATAACAAGGAAGTAATTGAATTATGCTTAATGAATTATTTAGAAATTCAATAGGAAAATATACGAATGCATTAATTGAAGCTAAAGCAACAATAAGGGAGAAACAGAAGTAAATCAAATACATTATAATAATCAAAGATAGAAGAAGAACTTTAAGAAGAATTGGAAATGATTTAATAAGAAATAGAAGAGGATTAATAATCAATTTAAAAAAATGAATAGTTGGAAGAATTATAATAATAATAATAATAATAATAATAATAATAATAATAATAATAATAATAATAATAATAATAATAATAAAATGAATTTAATATTAAACCAAATAAAACTTTAAGTTATGTTGATTAATAAAATCTAGAAATAGAAAAGATAAAACTATAAATGATCTAATAATAATAGTAATTAGAAAGACAAATTCATGCTGCTAAAAATTTAGCATAAATAGGGTTATTAGAAGGAAAGAATAGAATCGAAAAAGAATTAATTTTATAAAAAAATAAAAATAATAAACATTTTAATGAAGATTATGCAATTGCTTTGTTAAGTAAAAATTAAAGTAAATATGAATATGAATTACCCTTTCTATTTAATTAAAAAATTTAATAAGATTAATTATACAGAGATAATTTAATAGATAAAGTTCAATTAAATGCCTAATCTAAATTAATACCTATATCTACTTAGCATAATAAAAATCCATCAACTTATTTAGTAAATCCATAGCAATAATAGATATAAACTCGATCAAAATCAATATCTCAACACTCAAAATAAAATTATCATAAATAATTAATAGATTTAAAAAAAAGCAAATAAAATGATGCTTTGAGCTAATTACTTTTAGAGTATCATGAATGAATTAATAATTATCAACTAGCATTATCAATAAATTCTATGTAATCTTGTATTTTTAATAAACTGATAACTCATAAAAGTGCAATCATTCAATCAAGACATGCAACATTAACCATCTTATTCACCTCCTTTTTTATTTTATGTTTATTATTATGGTGAATTCTATTACAATTTCATTCCTACTTTACTTTTTTGATTTCTAATAATTATGAGACCAATTTCTTTACTAGTTTGGTTTCCCAACTCTTTAAATGATTTATCTAGTAATTAAACTAAAGCAATTTTCAATATTAATATTTGTTTTAGCTGAGGTCTCAATATAAGAAATGTTGTATTATTTAGCTTAAATGATAAAATTGTATACCTAATACTTCTGCTTCATCTGTTGACACTCTTCTTTGAGAACTATCTATTTTATTTCCAACTAATATTTTATTCACTGATTCTGCTGCAAATTTATCAATTTCTTGCATCCATTATCTAATTTAATTGAATGATTCTCTATCTGTAACATCAAAAACAATAATGATTCCTTAAGCTCCTCTGAAATTTTATGTTAATAGTAAAATACCTATAATAACTGCTTGTAATAGTTCTAAATCTATCTTAACCTGCAGTGTCCCACTAAAATATTGGTATTATGTATGTTTACTATTTACAATTTGACAGTAGATTTATCAATTTAAAATACTTTAATTTTCTATTGTAATTTAAGCATAAATATTTACAAAATCAACTCCAATTGTATTATAAAAATGATTTGTAAATTAGTTTTCCTATTTTTTTTTAATTTAAAAATGTTACGCTAAATCTCATTAACATGCATGATTTACCAACTCCACTATTCCCTATTAATAAGACCTTAAATAAATAATCACTAATTATGTAATACAACTATACCATTCTGAACTTTATTGTACATAATAATCTGACATAGTTTATCAGAATATATAAATTAGAATTAATGATAATTAATTATATATAGTATTAATATGAATCAAAGAACAATATCATATTTTGACCTTGTAATCTTACGATTTTGAATTCTTAACTTATTTAAAGGAGTACTCTCTTCATATTCAGCTAATTCAGCCATTTCATTTTCTAATTAAGCAATTTTTATTTATTGCAATTAATTTTAAAATGTATTTCTTCTTAACAAACTTCGTTTTAAAGTGATAGAATCTTATTTTTATATTGAATTCTTTCTTTTCTTTCCACTACTTTAGTTACTCATTGTATCTTTAAAACTTAACCTACATTCATCATCATAAAGCATTCTATTAATAATGTTTTATGGATCTGTATATGATAATCTTAAATTTGAGACTTCATTATCTTCTTCTCCGCTGCTACTACTACTATAATTATCTTCAATAAAGATTCCTAATTTTTTTATCTCATGACTCTTAATTACACTTTTTTCTATAAGATTAATATCTACATCAAATCTTTTTATTCTATAAAACAATATATACAATAGACCTATGATATATTAAATATAATTTTACCTTCAAATTTTATATATAAAGGTAGAGTTCTTCTTTATTTAGCATTTAACTATTTAATCTAATAATTATTTGAATTTGGTGATATAAACTCTGCAATTCTAGCTAAAGCTTCTATAAACTCAATAAATTGCATTTCAAAGTGTCTCTTTTAAGTTATTTCATCTACTTACATCATGATAGATTGTAAATAAATAAAATAGAGTTATTATTCACTTATTAAATTAGGTAAAAATTCAGAATTTTAGAGTAAGATCATTAAATCTTAAAATGAAATAAATTTTTCTTTTGCATTTGGTTTATTTGAAAAGTTAGATGTATAAGAAAATAATTATTTAAGAAATGGCAATTTTAATCGAATTGTCATATCCATAATTTATGTCCAATATCTCTCATTTCTCCACTATTGAGAGCAACCATAATCTAAAATAAAACCAAATTATCCTGTTTATCCTTACATCATTTTTTCAAATCCTTAAGCTATACTTTAACAATTTCCTTATTTAACATAAGTTTCCTTTGCTAATCTAATTAATAATTCTAGAAATTGATGTCTAACTAATGATCTTTCTTAAATAAATTAAGATTTAAAGTCTTTAATAACTATGGTACTAATTAAACAGATTTCCCAATCTACTTATTTAATCAATTGATTATTTTTAGATTGATAATAAAAACCTTATATTGTTTAAATATTTATTCTTGGAAAATCTTATTCACATTATTATGATGCTAAATATTTATAGCATGAAATTATGTATTTGTAATACTTCTTTAATTATTCCTATAAATAAATCAATTCAATATACTTTTAGAGGATTAATCTCATTATGATTGATTAAATGCCTTAATATTTTACTGTTCTCTAAATCTGCTTCCAAACATTATTCTAAATGCACTTCTGTATCTTCATCGAAATCCTTGAAAATTGAATTATCTAAAGTCCATTTTCTTTTCTTAGCCAATTCAACATCAAATTCAACTATTTTCTCAAGTTCTCTTGGTTTACATTGAATATTAGCTAGATAATGTTTCTTTTTATCAAAGATTGGAGCAGATTATGATGTTTGAATCATATTAACAGTATGTAATGGTTAACTTTATAATACTTTACCATTTGAATATTCCATTTGTACACCAAAATTTCTTAATTAAGAATGAGCTTAAGTTTAGATAGTCTTTTAATCTTTAGCATAAACTTAGACATTTTATATTGGATTACTAAAGAAATATCTGATTGTTTGATTGGGTGGACACATTCTATGTAATATAAAGTTTCCTTCAGGTGTTTTTTACATAAATGATGGTTAATAATCTTCAAATTCAAGATGAATAAATATTGGATCTTCATCTATGAGTCCAGATTTATGTGGTTTCCATTAAAATAGAACTTCAACCCAACCTTAACAAATCCAACAATTTTCTAACTATAAATTTACTATATCTACACTTTAAATTCTTATGAATTCATTTTTTTTCTTTTAAGTTTACTATTCCATTTATTACATTTTTATTTCAAGTTGTTTTTTATCTTATTCTTCTATATTAATATCATCTTATTATGATTCAGTTACTAATTTTTTATTTTTTTATTCTTTGAGATATCCTTTATGATTTATTTGATAATTTGAATTACCTTCAAAATGAAATCCATATATAATTTTATTGAACTCTAATTCATTTGCTATTTTTTAAGAATCCATAGATTTGAAATCATTGTGTGATAAATCTAAGTGAATTAATTCAGGATGAGGTCTGGCAATCAAATTACATATTTCATTAGTGCAATCTTTATTTCCTCCTAATTTATTAAATGAAATATCCAAAACTTTCAATACTGTATTCTTGCTTAATCCTTTGAAAAAGAATATACCTCCATTAAATGTTATTTTATTGTAATGTAAATATAATTCCTATATGATATTATTCTATTATTAATAATATATTTATATATACTTTTTTCATCATTTTTCCAAATTATTCCATTATTGAATCTTAAATTTAATTATGAGATAAATTAAGAACTCTTAAACATTTATTATTTTACAATGAATCAATTAAATATTTTAAGCCTTAATCTCCAATTTAATTGTTTTCTAAATTAAGTTCAATTAAAAATTAATGTTGTTTTAATAGTAACTTTTATAAAAATAAGCATCCATTTTTAGAGATCTTATTATTTTTAAAATCCAAACATTAAACAGATTTTGGTAATTGATCCAAAATAATTTCCAAATCTTCATTATTAAGATTATTTGAACTCAAATTAAGTCTTTCTAATTGAGTAAATGTTGATGATGCTAATCCTGCAGCAAACATCTTAATATATTATTGACTACTTAATTAACCAGCAACACTAATATCTTTTTTATTATGATTATCAATAATTTACATTTTTCTTGGCATACATTATTATTATTCCATAGCTTTATTTAAATTTACATAAATATTATTTGGAGTTTCATTAAATGATTGGATATCTAAACATTTTTTTGAATGTTTATAAAATTTATAATAATCTTAAGAATTTGGAGCATTAACTATTTCTGATCCTAGCTTCTAATAATCAATTGATTGACTTTTAGAAGAAAATAAGGATTATGCGGAAGGTAAAGACATTACAGAATAATTTTCTTTAAATAGTTTCTTTTTTATAATCTATTCTCTTGAAATTTCTTATACTAAATGATATCTAGAATTTAAAGGTGGTAATTTATTTTCTGATAAAATTGGTTTGGATGGGAAAAAATGTTTATTTTGTTATTAATTAGTTATAGTAGTTTCTTTCAGTTAAATACTTAATGGTGTGTTTGAATCAGATGTTTAAAATTCTGTTAGATCAAAAAAGATATGATCATCATTCTATTTTAGATTCTTAATATCCTATTCTTTTTTTGTATTAAGAGATGATTTAGTGTTAATAGATGTTCCTGAAATATTTAATTTCATTTTTTTATTTAAAAAGTAGTTAATTTAACAAATAAATTATTTTATTAAAGTATAATAAATAATTTATTTTAAATTCTTCCTCCAAAATGAATTAAAATAAAGAGAATGAATATTTATCTGATGTTCAAAGTTATTTTACAAATAAATGTATGACATCAACTAGGAGTACTTCATTACATGAAGAGAATACAATGAAATTTAGTTAAAATAAGAATTTATTTGAATAAAAATAACAAGAAAATGAAAAAGTATAACTATTTAATAAATAAATTAAGGAATTAAAAAAGAGATGGTCTGATATTGCTAAAGATTGGTAGAGAAATAAAAGAGATGTAAAAGTATTTCAATTAGCAGAATTTGGTATACCAATAAGTGCTAGAAAATAAATTTGGCCACTTATTGTTGGAAATAAACTCTAAATTACAAAAGAACTTTATAATATTTTACAAATTCAAAGTAAAACTTTTAAACTTGATTAACGAAAATCTTTAGGTAGATTATCATCATTTAATCACATCAAATAAGATTTAGGAAGAACATTCAAAAATGAAAGTATATATTTTATTGTAAATCTTTATTAGGTTTACAAAAAATCTTCCATCCAGGAGGACCTTTAAGTGAAAATTTATAAACTATTCTTGAAATATTTTGTTTATATAGACCTGATATTGGTTATGTATAAGGTATGACATATGTTGGATCAATCTTATTAACTTATTTTGATGATTATTAAGCTTTTGTTATTTTTAGTAGTTTAATAACACATCCTTAATTAATATCAATATTTATGCTTGATGAATAGAATCTCTAAATCATATTTCAATAATTTGAAAAACTAATTAAACTCAACATTCCTCAAGTTTATAAACTATTTAAATAATATAATATAAATTGTACTAATTATTTGCTTGATTGGATCTTAACTCTATTTGCAAAACCATTAAATCCTGATATTGTAGGTAGAATTTGGGATAGAATGTTATTTAATGGTACACATATTCTATGGAAATGTGGAATTGCTATATTGAAGATATTATATCCAAGATTTAAGGATTAAGAGAAAACATTATAGAGTTTAAAAAATCCTGATATCAAAGATGATGATTTATTATAAGAAATGAAGAGTGTTAATTATCCTTTTGAAGTTTAAGAAGTTTTAGGTAATATTGAATTATGATATACTTCATATGAATATATTTATTCTCTTTGTGATATTCACATTAGATCAAAATATTTATATAAATCTATCCAACCAATTCTTTTTTCTTGATCATATTCTAACATTGAATTTAAAAGGAACTATGTTTTTTATGATATTGTATTCTCATTATGAATGATTTCTCTTTATAAAGTTTATTGTACTTTTATTTTTTGTTTCATACAAATAGATTTAATGATTCTTATCTGAGAAAGGTAATTCTCCATAAATCATTAAATAGAACAAACATCCCAAACTAAAGATATCAGCTGTATTTTAGTATTGTTTAGATTGAACAACCTCTGGAGCCATGTAACCAAGCATTCCAATAGTCAATGTCATTGGATTATCATTGTTATACTAAATGCATAAATTTACGTTTAGACTTACTAAACCCTAGATCTCCTAATTTGATTTAATCATTATGCATAAGAATATTCTTCATTTTAATATCTCTATGCATTATTTAATATTTCTAAAGATCTTGTATTCCTCTAAGTATTTATTTTACATATATAATAGTTTATTCTTCAGTAAAATGTTTATTTTGTTCCAACCATGGTTTTTCAATATCTCCCTCTATTATAAAATTAATTAAGATTACAATTACAATACTCCATTACAATGTATGAATATTTGTTTTATTGAAATTCATCAATGAATCTAATAACATAGTTACTATTAACTAATTTCATATTTTATTTTTCTGTTTCATGTAATTAACCAACTAATCCTCCATGATTCTTAAAAGTTGAAATAGCTACAGCTTTTATTGCAACATTCTCATTTGTTTAGATATCAACAGCCTTTAATAAATGTATCAACAATTACATGATAAACTTTACAATATCCCCCAGATCCAATAAGTTTCACTATTTCATATTATTTCAATCTCTTTCCAGGAATGTGTAATTACTTTTATTACATTCAAATTTTAATAAAATTATATATATCTTTAATAATCCATCATCAGGATGGTTTCAATATAAAATAGTATCCTAATTCTTCTGTTCTGAACATCTTTTAGAGAATATGTACATTCTATACCATTTATTGGAACTCAATCAATTCATTAAAACAGAACATTATCTTATTATAATTCTAATATTCTTACAACTACATCATGGTATTATGTTATACCAAATCCTTTAGAATCCCATACAAAATAATTTTATTTAGTATCCTAATTACCAAGTGATTAAGCTATGATAAAATCTTTATATAATTCTCCATATTATTGCATATAAAACTTAAAATTCTTATTATTTATTCCAAATGCTTAAAACACAGGTAGGTATACTTATCCTTAAATATGTTTTACAATGAAATGTTTTATTTGAAGTTATTTATCTATACATTTTGGAGTATTTGGATTATTTTGAAGACATGAAGATAGAGTTTATTATAGATTATTTGAATTGAATTTCTAAATTAATACTTAAGCTGCTTCTTTACATTTTGTGAACATATCTAAAGAATTATCATCAGAAATCATTACAATCCCAATTATATTTTAATAAAAGAAATATATGTAAGCATAAACAAATCCCATTGCTGATAAACCTGGTAAACATATAGGTATCCAATTTTCTCCTTTTTTCAATTAACCTTATCCTTATATCATACTTTATATAATCAAAATATCAGATGTCTTAAATTCCATATTCTTTTATCTACATATATCGATTACAAAGGTTTCAGTCAATAACAAAGATGCTATTATATTAGGTAATTTGATTTCTTTTAGATTATTATGAATGAATTATCTCAATGAGACAGTCATAGGCAAAGTGCAGATTGAATTAAATGCTATACAGGGAGAATATAATCCATTTTTAACAGCTAGAGTTAATAGATTTCTGGATCCTCCTACAGAAAATGCTAGATCGTAATTAGGTTTTTGTGTTAAATGAATATTGGCTTAATCTGTTACAATGGATATCAATTATGTATTGAGAAAATCCAACATTTAATAAATGATGAATTCAGAATCCTATCATAAACTAGTGTGTATACTTAGAGAGAACTTGTTGAACAAATATAAGTGATTTAATTTCTTTGTAGAATATAAATATTGCATTTATGATGTGAAATCCTAAATAAGGTTTATTTTTCTTTGTCTTCAAAAAAGAATAAAAGAAACTTTTAAAAGATTGCATTAATGGTTGCTAAAAATATTGAAGACTTTTGATATTTTATAATTAATAAATACCTTTATTTCATTACCATATCTAACATATATGGGTCTTCCTGTATTTGTCATAATAAATACATGCCTTTTATGTGTAAAGAATTCTGGAATGTCAGGTGATATTTCTGTATAAGAAACATTAATGACATGAGGTTTGTATTAATATGAATCAGTACTCATTTATATATATATATATTAATTTTCTTATTTAATGTGAACATACATTCAATACTATGGCTAAAAGACAGCATTATATCTTGCAATTGATGGACCTCTTTCAAAATATTCTTATCTAGTATGATAGACTTTCTCAAATTGTGGCTAGAATGAATTGAATATATATACTTATAATGCCATCAAACTTCCTCCTTACCAAACAGCATATCTTTAGAAAGGATTCTATGAAACATTAACTTTAATTGGTGCAGGCTTGAATATAATGAAGAAGCTAATACTTTAAATCCAGATCTTTGTTCATATTTTTAGAGTCTGGAATCAATTCTAAGTTAGACTTATTGTTCTAATCTTTGAGCAAATCCATCAAACAAAGTAGATCCACCTGATAAAATGATATTTTAATATAATTTCTTTCTACAATCCACAGGAGATGTTTATATTGATTTATCAATTATTTCATCAATAGGAGATCTCCATTTACCATCTAAGAATTCAGGATGAAAGAACATTTCAGGTCCTAAGAATCTTTCATAACCAATATCAATTGTATATTTTTCTTTGGTAACAGAATTCTTTCCATAATATGTTTTGAATTTGTTTTTATCTCCTCTATCATAAGCTTAAAATTCCTTTATTAAATCTCCATCACTTATACAATATCCATATTTTTCTTTAACTTCTCTAGCTACTTTTTTGATATCTTCTGCAGGGATATTTTCTCCTCTTTCTTTTAATAAAGTTTAAACAAATTAAGTTATATCTCTTCCTGCCAAAGGGATATGTTTAATACATGATCCTATAACATAACCATCTGAAACAGGTATACAATGTGTTACACCATCTCCTGAATCTAAGACCATACCTGTTAATCCTGCTGTCTTTTAAAAATCATTAACAGGAGCAAAGGCACTAGAGAAAAGGGATAAGACAGCCTAAACTGAAATATGTAATCCTTTTGCATTGAATGTTTCAAAAAAGATTTCTGCAATATTCTCTCTATTTTCAGGAGGATTCTATATATCATTATTGCATATATACCATAGGTGGTTCAGTCAAAATGAAGGTTGTTTCATCTGGTTCAGCTCTGAGGTAATCAAATATACTTCTATGCCAAAACTTTTCCATGAGATCCCAATTTTCTACAATACCACTCTTCATTGGATAAAAGATATTGTGAGACTTTGTATAGTCATATGCTTCATATCCTATGTAATAATCTAAATTTTCATTTGTATTCTTGCTCATTTGAACTTTTTACTAATATCAATTTATCAAATTACTTTTTCTTAATGATCTGCCACAACAGTAGGAATATCAAATTATGGTTCAGTATTTCCAGCCCACCCCATCTTTGTAAATCCAGTACCTATAATATAGTTTTATTATATACCATTATCAATGACACAAACTTTGCTTTGATAAAACCCCTTGTCAATTGTTTATTACATATGATACTCTATATATTATTTAATATTAATTATTATTAATTATTCATTATATTAATATAGTTATAAAAATGTTCATCCTTTTCTTTTAAGAGTATGAAAAAAGTTGTCAACTCTTCTCCATTTATCATTAATTGATGTAATTATTTCTTATCTAAATTTCATTATTGCTTCTTATTCTGATAGATTCAAAGCCAATCTATCTTATAAGTATCTCACATCTTCTGCATTCTATAATTCAGGTATTCCAGCAGTTAAATTCATCAAAAATAAATCTACTAACCATCTTCCATGTTTTCTAATTAAATTATATGCATCCAAACAATGCTTTTCAAATTATCTAAATGTTTCACTATCTTAACCACCCATCACTGTTAACATTTCTGGAGTTAAAACAAATTTCGCTCTTTCTATAATGTTATTAACTTTTACCTCTATTTATTCCAAATTTGATTTTGAAATTGCCTAAGAAATGTCCAAAATCAATATGAAATATATGACCACTTGATTTGATCATTATATTACCACTATGTCTATCACCAATTCCTAAAACATAAGTGGCAACACAATATCCAGCACAAGATCTAAGGAATATATCTTTGGATCTATTAAAATCTTCAGGATTCTGATTCTATTGATGCAAATAATTGATAAGTGCTTTTTCATCAAATGCTCCAAATGCACCAATATTATCATGAATTTCTGAAATATTCAATGAATCCAATACTACTTCAATCATTCCAACTTAATCATCAGTAGCAATCACTTTATATGGTTTCATCTTAAAATCTAAACCTGAATCCAACCATATTGTATCAATAATCTTTATAATCTACAAAGTCAACATATCTTATTTTAAATCATCTCCATTCTTAAAAATCACCTAAAGTTGATTAATTTATTAATTAATTGATTTTTGATAAGATTTCAAATACAATTTCAATGGTAATTTCTTTGAATTCAATACCTTGCATTAATCAATCTCAAAACTAGCAATTTACATACGTGCATCAATTGGAAATGTAAAAGGTTATACTACATTCTAAGTTATAATTTATAATTCTTTCTTTAATGCATCTGTTTTCTATTACATCTCAGTCCCTACTTATTTACTCTTAATCTTTAGAGATGATTCAATTAAAAGATTATTTAATCTTACTTCTTTAACAATTGTCTCTCTAAATTATCCACATATCATTATCAATTATTCTAGCCATATAAAATATCTCAGAAATGAAGGTTTCAAATTCAATTATGATTTTAATAGCCAGAATAATTCTTATCCTATTTGAAAAGGATTTGCTGAAGCTCTCTCTAATAATAATTCTCCTAAAGGATTATATATATTTTTCTCAAATTACAATGCTTAACTTAATTGTAATAAGTATAAACTCAACTCATCATCAGATAAGAGACTTATTCTATCGACAGCATACAAACGTACTATTTCATCTGGAAAATGGGAATCCATTAAAATTAATGCAATTTATGGTGGTAAAGGAATCCATTCTTTTATCATTTAATGGGCTTCTCTTACTTATTTAGGATCAGCCCAATTTACAGCCTTTAGAAATAATTATAATGCATAAGGTAATGTTTTATAATGATGTCTACATATCATTAATAAAAATTTATCCAATTAAGTATAATGTACTCTATCTAATGAAGTAGCTGATAATAGTGTTTATAAATAGGCAAGATCTTCAGTTTTTGGAGTTTGATCAATATCTTTGTATGGATAAGCAAGACCAAATCTATCACTATTTTCTTTATAATAATTAGCAGTCATTCTATTTGATATAAAATATTGTAAGAAGTTATTTAATGAATTTCTAGCTAATTATGAGAAATTACTTGATCTTTAGCTATCTATATTTTATAGGATGCTTATTCCCTTCCTTTTATTTTATGATATAATGGACCCTGTAGTTTTATCTAGATCAAGTTGTATTCTATGATCTTTTACATAATGATAATTCTTTTTAGTTTCAATCTATTTTTGTAATTCTGGATCTGATCTTACCAAATCTGCATAATGTTTAACATTTAAACAATCCTTTAAACTTCCTTGATGAAATTATTAAAATTTTTAATCTCTTAATGACCATTTCATTTAAGAACTAAAACAATCCATTTTAATAGATAAATAGCTGTAACATTTAGGTCTGCATCTTTTATAATTATTATCTAGATTGATTTCTCCTTTAAAATCTTAAAAACATCCAATTTTTGGATTAATATCATAAAATGGCCATAAATTAAGAGTTTATAATCCTTATTTAAACTTTGAATTTTGATCAAACAAGTACATACTAGTACTTCCTAAAATTTAGGATTCTCCATTAAAAGAATAAATTAAGACTCTAAAACATAATTTAACTTCTAATGGTAACATAGAGTATTTGATTTGACTAAATTTAATGGATGCATTAAAGGTAGGTGTAAATGAAAATGGGATTAGTTATGATTCAATAATAGATGAATTAGTTAATAATTTATCACCATAATATATGGATGCTTCAATTGATATTAAATATGGTTCAAAATTAAGATTAAAAAGTGTTTACATTTACTTAATATAATTTCTATTTTCAACTCCTCCAAAAGACACATATCTAATAGGGATATATGGTTCATCTTATTATGTTTCTTTTCTATGAAACATAAGAATATCTTTATTTTTATTGATTTTAGAAGGTTAATTTTTGGTAATATTATTTAATTTAGTTGTTCCATTATAGGTTGATCTCTTTTTACCTAATCTATCAAAGTCAGATTCAAATAGATTCTTAAGTTAATCTATTTTAATTATTTTAAAACTGAAAAAGAAATCACATTATCCAGAATAAATGAAGTCTAAATCATTTACAATTCTATTCTATGATATAAGTCTATATTACTTGTTTTAAGATACTGATCTGTTAATTGACTATCTTTTATTTAGGATACCATATAAATACAGGAACTTCTAAATAGTTTTTCCAATCCTCAATCAAATCATAATTATCTTTGGGTCTTTTATAAATAGGAGGATAATCAAAATTATTGGAAGGCAAGTAATCAATTAATATAGTATTTAATACTTGACTATCTCTTATTATGTTTCGAATTCTTGTAAATTATAATAAAGGTTATTCTCCATAAATGTATTCCTAATATCCATCCACTTGTAAAATATACTAATGTAAATTTGACATTTAATATTGAAGTTATTTTAATATCATTTAAATAGCTTCATCTGCACTTGTCATTAAATTGAATTCTATTTTAGTCTGTTTTCCATTCAATAGATCATTCTAACATTAACAAATGATGTTAAATTTAATAGTGTAAATGTTACTAAATGAGAATCCCATATTTGATTCTAACAAATATCTTCTATATTGTTGTTGTTTAGGGTGTAAAAGATATGAAGGAATGTTTCTTCTTCTATATTATTCTACTTCACTTGAATCTTATAACCAATGTGCAACATTCTCATGATTATACAGAATGTAACACATATCCTATAGAGCATTTTCACATTTCTGTTTGTACTAAGGATCCACATGGGTTTCTATGATGATGATATCTCCATTTGTTGAATAAATTTAACGACTATCAGGATCTAGACATATAATCCAATTTGTATATTATTAAAATTATTTCATAATTAATAATTATGTTATTAATCTCTATATATCAATTTGTTTTTCATATTTTCACACTATTTTATTAATATCATCTACTTATAACTATTTCTAACATCCCAAACACTCTTACACATCCATTATCTCTTCTATATAACATAATAATTATTTTTAGATACTTAAAAAAATGAGTTATTTGCACTATACAATAAATGCTAATTACTCTAAATTTTACAGAACATTATTAAAATCCTTAGATTTTTTAGTATATATATCCCTAGATTACTCTCACTTACATTCTCCAATTATTAAGATCATTTATGATTGAAAGAGGATAAACAGTATATACTAACTTCTATTAGATTCAAATTAATCCAAATAGCCATATCTATAGATATCAAGTATTATATTTATAATCATACTCTTATAGCTATCATTTTAACCATTCTTATCTCCAGAATAATAAATTTCTAAATGGAGAGAAATATTCAAAATTGCTAAGTCAGGTCTATAAGAGAACCTTAAAGTTTTCATTACCAATAACTAAATCCTTTATTCACCTATTAGAGCATAGACAATGGGTTTACTTCTTGGAGTGTTTGAAGAAGAAGGAGTTAGTCATTCAATTTCTATTGAAGAGAAGGCTGTTCTTAAATCTGGAGAACCTGAATATACTGGGTTGATTGGAAGATTCTTTAAAATGTTATTAAAATAGCAAAAATTGTTATAAATTGGAAGAAAGTACTTTAATACCAAAAATTTAATTAATTTCGATTAATTTGGATTAAAAGTATATATAAATTTAATTATAATAAGGTTTTACCAGGAGTTACTTGTAGTCTAATAAAATAGGAAGAACAAGGGAAATATTACATTAATATAGATTCTTCTTTTAAAATGTTGAGAAGTACTACTATGTATGAGGAATTAAGGAACTCTAGAGATTTCTCATAATTGGAAGGAGCTATAGTGATGACAGTCTATAATTATAAATTCTATAAAGTAAATAAAGTAAGTAGGGAAATGAATCCAAAGAGTGAATTTGAAAATTTGAAAGGAGAAAAGATGACTTACATGTAATATTATTAAGATAAGTAAAAACATAATAGTATAATAGATATAAGATTGCCATAAAAGATGTAACTTAACCATTGATAGAAGTGTTAGAGAAATCAAGAAAAAAACAAGAAGAGAAGATTATCTATTTAATACCAGAATTATGTGTAATGACAGGATTATCTAATGAAATGAGAAATAATTTCTAAACAATGAAATAATTATCCACTGTTACTAAACCAAGAGGAGTAGATAGAGTGAAATAAGCAGATCAATTTATTTAGTGTTTTCATAATAAAGAGAGTGAAGAATTAATTAAGAAATGGAATATTTAATTAGAACCAAAATGTTTATAGATTTAAAGTTCTAAAATCAAACCAGGAAATATTATGATGGGGAATAACACATCTATAAATATAGAAACAGGTAATTTAGATAGAGATACTCAGACAGCTATGTTAAGAGGAGTAGGTTTAGAGAATTGGGGAATATTATATAATGATAGAGATGGTAGATAAGCTGAAGATTTTATGAGTTGTTTGAGAGAGAGTATTGAATATTGTAAATTTTAATGCAAAGCTCCTCGTACTTTTGTACTTCATTCAAATAGAATTGAAGATTGGATTAAATAAATAGATTTAATTGTATAATAATCATAAGGACCATAAAAAGTAACCTTGTTATTATTAATATTAAATGGTCCAAAGAAGAATGCTCCACTTTATACAGATATCAAAAGATATTTAATTAATGATTGTCCAATAGCTTCATAAGTTATATTGAGTTCCACTTTAAATTAACCTAAAGGAAAAGTTAAAACTATTTGTAATAAATTATTGGTTCAAATTTGTGCTAAAGTTGGAGGAACACCTTGGGGAGTATCAGAATTACCATTTACTGATTAACCAACTATGATTTGTGGAATGGATGTATATCATTCTACTGGAAAAGCAAAAAAATCTATGTTATCATTTGTATCAACAGAAGATGAATTCTTTAGTAAATACATGACTTAATCAATTGAAATGGAAACTGGAGTAGAATTTTCATTTAGTTTATGTCCAGT